GACAAGAGGAAGCAGCCCTGCCCTCCAGTGGGAGCCGAGGATGCAGGGGGCGGCGAGGGGAGGCAGGGAAGCAAGTCAGGAGGGAGCCTAGGGAAGGTGCCCCTAGGGCTCAGGCCTTCCTCCCCAAACCCAGTTCTCCTAAATTTGCACCTTTTGGAGAAGCTTGCTGGACAGCGACTGTAGCAGAGAGGAGTGTATGAGGGGAGTGTGGGCCTAGGGGCCTCTCTGCCCGGATGAACGGACAGTCCTTCTCCACAGGCGAGAGCATTCCCGAGGCCACGAAGCAGGCGCCGCTCACTGCACTGAAAAGCAATGTGCGTGGGGCACTGCCGGGGAAGGATGGCACCCGGGCGTGTGGGCGACACGTCGTGCCTGCCCTACACACGCACATGTGCTCCAGGGGCTGTGCCTTTGGTCTGCGTTGACGCAGTGACTAGTGAGTCCTGTTTCTGGGCACTGCTGGCCCCCAGCCCCACCCTCACTGCCCACCCCTGGAGCTGGCGGAGGGCAGGAGCCAGAGGATCACCAGGCAGAGCTGATTCTCACTCCCTCGGACCACGCCTCTCCCTGCACACCAATCAGTGCAGCCTGTTCAGGGGGCTGCCCCTCTGCCCACGGCAGGGAGGGAAGGTGGGTCCCTCCAGTTCATTGGCACCTGGTGACCCTGCTCTCTAAGGCTACTGGGCACCGATGACTGGGCACTACCAATAAAGCTGATGCCATACTCTGGTCTTCGTTCGCTCCCATTTCTCAGGTGGTGAGAACCTGACACACTTATTCAATCTGTATTTAATGAGTGAATTGATGGAACCTTGCTTTGAGTGCACACGCGTATGTGCGTGTGAGGCTGGAAAGAGGCGGACAGGGAGGAAGTGGCAGAGGAGAGGGAAGCGCAAGGTATTTACCCCACATGGGAGGCCCAGGAACCTGCTTGGCTCTAGAAATGACCTGCCTTATGGCTTCAGACAGGCTTTAAAATGTGATTTAAAAAGTTTCATTGATTATGCTATTACAGTTGTCCCACTTCCCCCCTTTATTCCCCTCCACCCTGTGCCCCCCTCCTGCCTGCATTCCTCCCTTTAGTTCATGTCCATGGGTCATACATATAAGTTCTTTGGCTTCTCCATTTCCTATACTTTTTTTTTTTAAATTTATCTTTTGAGGGGAAGGGAAGGAGAGAGGGAGAGAAACGTCAATGTATGGTTGCCTTTTGTGCGTCCCCTGCTGGGAACTGGCCTGCAACCCAGGCATGTGCCTTGACTGGGAATCGAACCGAGATTGTCAGGTTGGAAGGCCCGCATTCAATCCACTGAGCTACACCAGCCAGGGCTCCTATACTGTTCTTAACCTCCCCCTGTCTATCTTCCATCTACCATTTATGCTACTTACTCTCTGTACCTTTTCCCCCCTCTTCCCCCTCCCCACTCCACCACTGACAACCCTCCATGTGGTCTCCATTTCTGCTTCTGATTCTTTTCCTGTTCTAGTTGTTTGCTTTTTGTTTTTATTTTAGGTTTGGTTGTTAATAACTGTGAGTTTGTTGTCATTTTACTGTTCAAATTTTTTATCTTTTTTTTCTTAGATAAGTCCCTTTAACATTTCAGGGCTTGGTAATGATGAACTCCTTTAACTTGACCTTATCTGAGAAGCACTTTATCTGCCCTTCCATTCTAAATGATAGCTTTGCTGGATAGTTATCTTGGATATAAGTCCTTGCTTTTCATGACTTGGAATACTTTTTCCAGCCCCTTCTTGCCTGCAAGGTTTCTTTTGAGAAATTAACTGACAATCTTATGGGCACTTCTTTGTAGGTAACTGTCTCCTCTTCTCTTGCTGGTTTTAAGATTCTGTCCTTATCTTTAATTTTAGGTAATGTAATTATGATGTGCCTTGGTGTGTTCCTCCCTGGGTCCAACTTCTTTGGGACTCTCTGAGCTTCCTGGAAGTCTACTTCCAGATTGGGGGAGTTCTCCTTCATTATCTTTTCAAATAAGTTTTCAATTTCTTGCTCTGCTTCTTCCCCTTCTGGGACCCCTATGATTCGGATGTTGGAGTATTTAAAGTTGTCCCAGAGGTTTCTAAGCCTCTCTTCCTTTTTTTGAATTGTTTCTTCATTCTGTTCTTGTTGAATGCTTCTTTCTTCTTTCTGGCCCACACCGTTGATTTGAGTCCCGGTTTCATTCCCATTACTGCTGGTTCCCCTGTACATTTTCCTTTATTTCACTTAGCATAGCCTTCATTTTTTCATCTAACTTGCAACCATATTCAACCATTTCTGTGAGCATCTCGATTACCAGTGTTTTGAACTGTGTATCTGATTGACTGGCTATCTCTTCATCGCTTAGTGGTATTTTTTCTAGAGTGTTGACCTGTTTTTTCATTTAGGCCATTTTTTTTTGGTCTGGGTGCACCTGTTATGTAGTAAAAGGTGGAGCCTTAGGTGTTCAGGACAGGGCAACCATGTCCCTGTATGTTGTGACACTATATGTGGGGGAGGGCCCAGAGAGGGAACAGTTCCGCTTGCTTGGCTCTCTGAGTTTTCAGTCACTTCCTCCGCGACCCTGGAGCAAAGTGGGCCCTCCTGTGCTGATTCTTGGGTGGGTGGGCTTGTGTGCGTTCTAGGACCCTGTGGGTCTCTCCAATGAACTGTGAGGCTGGGAGTTTCTCCCGCTGCTGCCTCAACCCCTACAGGTGTCTTCAACCAGAAGTTTGAGGCTTTATTTCCCCGCGTTGGAACTCTGGTCTCACACCCCAGTTGTCCCTCCTGGTCTATCTGCACGTGATTGTGCAACGGCCCAGTGTGCAATCTGCCGACTTGGGTCCACCAGCCACCGCCTCGCCCGCCCTGCTCCAACAGCCGCCGCTTTGCCACGAGTCCTCTCTGCCCGCTGCCCGTCTCCGCCCCTCCCACCATCTGGGTGAGTGTTTCTTCAACTCCTTGGTTGTCGGACTTCCACACAGTTCGATTTTCTGTCAGTTCTGGTTGTTCTTTGTTTTTACATTTGTTGTTGTTCTTCTTCTGGTTGTGCCAGGAGGCACAGTGTGTCTGCCTACACCTCCATCTTGGCTGGAAGCTACAGTGTGATTTTAAGGCCCCCATCTCAGCAGACCTTCCCAGCCGTCCAAGCTTCTGCAGTCTCACTCCAAATTGACCGTGGCTTTTCCCAGCTGGCCCTCGGGTGCCTGGCCCTGAGGAAGAACTGCCCCAGCCTTGCATTTTGGCCCCTCCTCTCCTTCAATGTCAGCCCTGCTTTCAGATTCTGAGGCCAGCTGCCTTTCAGTGCCTTCTCTTCCACGGTGATCTAATCTACCCACACACACACATCTCAGAAGCAGAAGAAAACAGTGCGCCCTCAAGGAGTGTGAAAGCTTTATTTTATAAATTTATACATTTTAGGACTATCAAGTGTTTTCTGAGAAAGTGAAATATAAAGTAATTCAAGCAAACTTTTAAAATAAAGGCTTCTCCCCAACTTTTCTGAGCAAAGAGGAGGGAAGAACAGGGCTGGTATTTGTGGAGCGTAGGAAATGCCCAGGACGCGTTGGGCCCTTTCACTCAGTGATCTGTGATCTCCCAGCAACTGTTGGAGGCAGACAGCGGAGTCCTCGGTACCAGGAAAAATAGAAACAAGGGACTCAGGAAGATTGCGTGATTTCACTGCTAAGTAACAACCTTGGAACTTGAGCTTAGCTCTGACTTTTGTGGGCACACTGGGCTCCTTCCACTCCGGGAAGATGCCCTGGGCTCCGACTCGCAGGTGCTTTGCCTCAGAAAGGCCTGGGCAGGGCCATGGTAAGGAGAGCAGGGATTCCATTGTATCAGCTCCACCCTTCTGCCCACCGTTTCACAAAGCAGATGATCTGACATGAGCTTAGTGTTTTTATCTGGAGTTATTCTATATAAATGCAAGCAAAGCAAGCCGTGTCCCTCACATATCTGGTGTAACGGACCTCCGTGTCCCCTGCCTCTGCCAACCCAGCGTCCTCCTGTGGGAGGGGTAAGGCCAAGTGGCTCTCGTCCAGCACAAGTGTCAGAGGGAGAGGACGGGTTGGATGAAGCTCATCCTGACACTGTACTCGCAATGAGGGGACAAAGTCCAGGTTCCTGAAACAGAGTGAAACGCAGCGGCTTTACAGAAAGGTCTCTTTCCCTGCCACGGAGCAGCCCCAAGGTCCAGGACGGTGTCCAGGGCCCTGTCCATTGTGCTGCTGCACTGGCCCCTCGGGCACTCCCTCTCTCCCAGGGTCAAAGGTGGGTGGCAAGCGCAGTCACCTTCCAGCTTGTGAGCCAGACAGAGGGGCACCAGTCCGAGGCCAGGGATCGTCTTGTCAGAGACGGCCTGGCAACTGCACTGCCGTACACGCCAGCACCTGGCCACAAGGCCCCACCAGCAACAGTGGAGATGGGGGGCCGCCTCTTGCCGAGCCCATGGCGAGTCCACCCCAGTGGAAGATGGGGAGAGAGGAGTTGGGTGGCCAACCAGCAGCTTCCGCTGCAGCAGTGATCACTGCCCGCACCTCTCTGCACTTTGCCAAATGGTCAACAAAGGCCTTCACACCCACCAAGCCATTCAGCCCAGCAACAAGCCCCCGATCAGGGGACCTTTCGCTCACATTAGGAGATGGAGCCAATGGGGTTAAGGGATTGGGGCAGGGCATGTTCATCGAGTTTTAAGTGCATGGTGGGAACGGACCCTCCGGTGATAAAATATTTGTAGAGTCAAAAAGAAAAGCCAATCCTTCTCCTCAAAGGCTTCCCGGTAGCTGCTGGACAGTGCAGGACGGAAAAGCAGACAGTGACAGAGACGGGCAGAAAGCTCATCAGGACGTCAAGAAGACACCAGTGATGCCTGGAGTAACAAACACTAAGTGACTTTTCCCACCATGCACGGAGAAGACAGTCACTCTCAAATTCTCTGGCAGACATGAAGAGTTATGGAGCTCACTGAGGAAAAGCAAAGTACTCAGACCAAGGCCTCTGCCCTGCCTCACGGCGGCCCCTCCCACCCTGACCCCAGCCCGCTGCGGCCACCCCACCCCTCGGCAGGCACAGCCGAGGCCCTGCTGCCGTGTCTCCGGCGTCTGCCCCGGGGTCACGCTGACGCTGCAGTGTGGGACACCTGCAGGACTCTGCAGGATTCAGACATCCACAACCAGGAAGTGGGAGCCAACATCCCAGGACACAGCCTGGCCCGGGGAATGTGGCACCAGTGGACAACTGCCCCCTCTGCCAGGTGGAACAGTCTGGGCCACATTCTCCACGTGCTGGGAGGGACCAGGGGATTGACTCTGTGACGGTTAACTTAGATGTCCACTCGCAGGGTGCTTTTGGATGAGATCAATGTTAAAATGGCCAACTCTGAGGAAAGCAGAGTGTCCTCCACAACATGGGTGGGCTTCACCCAGTCATGTGGGGGCCCGAATAGCACAGACTGGCCTCCCCAAGCAAAACTGTCTCCGACTCCCCTGTGCCTTTCGGGGTCTCGGGACCCTCCAACTGCAGAGTGCTCCCATTGGGCCTTAGCTGGTAAATGGTGACATGCAGCAAAGCAGGGACAGCTCCAGGGAACAGACGTGGACCAGGAAGTGGCCTAACGATGCAGGACACCCACCCCACTGAGCAGACCACTTCTGCAGTGACCAGAATGGCGGTGCCCCCCAGGTCCCTCATCTCTTCACCTGGACAGGGATGAATTTACACACAAAATTTCCCTCTTCAGACCCAGACTCCCTGGTTTTTGTTACTAACAACACCATCTTCTGAATTACTTTCTTAAATTCATCTTCCCAATGAAGCCACGTGGCTTTCCCTAACCAGGTTAACTTTATCCGGGGGCGGTACTGGCCTCCTGAGGGTGATGTGACGAACTGCAGTAAGTCCCCACCTAACGCCGTCCACAGGTGCTGTAACCTTAAGTGACAACACGTCACGAAACCAGCTTCACCACAGGCAAGTGGACATTCACAAGAGTTAAGTTCCTACAGCTTCTCATCGATGTTATGAAATGTTATTGAAGGACCTGGCGCATCAAACTGGAGAGCTCAGAACAAGAGAAATCTATTCTCCTGCAGTTCTGGAGGCCAGAAGTCCACACTCCGGCAAGGCCGCGCTTCCTCCGAGGGCGAGGGGAGAACCCTCCTGGCCTTGCGGCGGCAGCTCCATTCTCTCCGCGTCTCCCCACGCTGTCCTCCGCCCCCTCTGATGAAGATGGCAGTCGCTGTGCTTAGTGGCCATCCGCACAATCCAGGGTCATCTCGTCTCAAGGGCCTTTTTCCAAATAAGGTCACATTCACAAATGCCACAGATTAGGACGTGGACTTGTCTTTCGGGAACTGCTGTTCAGCCTACTGTGGTCCTGAAAGAGGCATATTCATATCAGTCTGTCACCAAAGTCACCTCTGGGTAACGTAACACCAGTTCAGACCTGAGACGCTGAGGGCCAGACCCTGGACAGGAAATGAATCTGGTGACTCTTATCTCACTGTGAACCATCCCCATCGTCCTTTTCAAAATGTTTTCAATCTAAGACCACATGGCAGTCACATCACCACGGTGTTTGGGTAGTGCTAAATGTGTGCCCGGAACCCACTTACCTCCCCTTCCTTGCCAAACAAGCCCACTCACGTCACAACCTGCAGAAAAAGTGTGTGGCAGGGGTGCTGGGGGGCAGAACTGGGGTCACAGGGTGAAGCTGCGAGGCGGTCAACAGGGAGAAGCAGCAACAGGACCAGCACGAGGACTGCGGGCTGGTTTAGGACACGTCTCAAATGCTGAGTTCCCAAAACATTACTCCTCGGAGCCCTCGAAGGAAGACCAGCCACTACCCTCCACAGGATCTAGAAAGCGGCGGCTCACAGGAGTCCTCCAACACCCTTGGGCACTCACAGGTGCAAACAGCCAAGGAGAAAGGGGTCACTTTCCAACGGCTTTAGACGTGGAGGGCGGTGGAAGGGGGAGCCGGGCGGAGCTCCTGCAGGCTCTGCAGATCCGGCTCTGGCCACCGCTTTCCTCCACGACCCACACGCCCGACTCCTCGCTGCTGCGGCAGCACTGCACGTCCTCGCCAAGGACGAAGTCTGCTCCTCCTGGAGGGCCGTTCAGCCCCAGGCCTGTGGACGCCTCCCTGCTCACCTCTCTCGGTGACCTCTCTCTCCTCGGAATTTTTGGCGGTCGTCTCTGCCATCGTTGACCCAGAAAGTCTCTTGATGGCTTTCTTTTATTATTTAATCCTTATCGGCTAATTTTGTTCCCAGAAAAAAAGGTATCCCAATACACTACTTTATATAATTCAATATCTTAAAGTTAAAAAAACATACTATATATTGTTACTTTTAGTGACTGCAAAGCATGAAAAATCACGGCTCTAGAAAACTTCTCCATTAGTTTTAATCTTTTGTTGAAGCCTGAAAGATGAAAAATACAAGTTGTGAAATATCCTGGGTGCCAATGTACTGGGACCCCTAGGACAAACCAAGTCACACACTGCTCAAAGTCTCAACACAACTGAATCCCACTTTAATAATTAAATTTTTGTTATGAAGCCAAATGTACTAGGGTGGAGTGAGATCTAGGCGAGAACCCGTGGCCCCTGGGCAGCACTTCACAATGCCTGCTGGAAACCATGAATCCGACCCGCGGTACAACTGCGCCGGAGGCAGCACCAGTTCTCCACCTTCTGCTGGAGTTATGAGAACCCAGCGTGACTGTGTGAGTTATGACACACAGGTAGAGACCTCTGAGCACCACTGACATTTTCACTAGTAAAGGGAAACTGAATTACTGTTTCATAAATAAAGCTTTTAAAACATCTTTTTAAAAAAGAAGCCCATTAGGAAAAAAAAAACTTAAAAACCTTTCCTAGTGTTGGGGGATGGAGCCCCATAGGACTTAAAAACAGGGGCTATTGGCTGAACAATAACGGTCCACTGACTGAGCCCTTACTGTGCATGTCACATGAATGTCCTCATGTCACCCTCCCAACCCCAGAAGAGGTGACAGATGACGGAACGGAGCTCAAGCGGCTTGCCCAAGGCCACTCATCTCTTACGCAGCATGGTCCAGAATCGAATGCAAGGCGGTTAACCCAAACGCTCACGTTCTCAGCCGCGGCATTGTGCTACTTCACTCACTCCTCTCCCCGCTCGCAGTTCGCATAACCTTTTCCTCCCCAACCGCTAGAGCCCGAGGACCTTCTGCCAGGCTCAAGCTTCCGCCAGAAGACTCCGGGGAGGAGACCGGACTCACGGGGAGGGCCTGTGGCCCTCTGGCCATGCGCTGGACTTGGGCAGGTCCGGGGAACAGGAATCTGGCAAACTCTTGAGTTCCTTCCTCACTCTGCTTTGGTACTTGTCTTCTGACTGTGGAGGCCATCCTATCGGTACAGAGCCTCGGTTCTGGAACGCCTTCCATCTCGAACAGTTCTGTTCTCAGCCAGGTTGTTCACGGAAACAACAACTCAGATGTCGAACAGAACTTCGGCCCTCACCCCAACAACCCTTTCACGCAGATGCCTGTATGGTCAGTCACCTACACGAGTCTGTTTTCGAACAAAATGCTCCTCAAACAGCCTTCTGGAACAAATTACATTTGAGAGCAGAGGTTCCACTGTATGCAAAGCGAGATTCACGAGAACGGAAGTACAGGAAGAGAAAAGCAGTTCCTCTCAGCACTGCACACTCTCCGCCCACCTGCCCTTGCTGTTCCCTTTTCTTTAGGTAAAAGGTACTTGAAAACAGAGCCCAGATATTGGTCAACAAATGACCCAAAATAAAAAAGCAAAGTCCATTTTTGATTCAAAGAGGTCACTCCAGACACAAAAGAGTGCCAACTTCCATGAGCTGGGAACGCCCACAGCCCCACTGCTAGGCTGGCGGTAGAGCGCCTCCGTCTCACTCCTTCAGGTGGGGGCACGGGCTGGTCCTGGAGGCTTCCTGTCGCTGAGTCTCTTCTGTAAGTTCAAGAGAATGATTCCAAGGGCAAGACTCAAGCATAGCTGAAACAAAGGCCAGGGCGCAGCTGGAATTCAACAAATGTTACCTTGCAACTTTCTTTACCAGGGCAACCCGGGCATGAATTATCTGAGACATTTGTGGCTTGATCACAGTGGCAAAGCTGACATGAGGTCATGACTGCAGCGGCAGAAAGGAGTCCAAGTCCGCATCGCCGCGACCTCGTTTTGAATTAGGTAATGTAGGTAATCCAACATGTCTGGACACTTATTTATGATCATACAGATGAAAATGACCAGCCTGGCAACCATAAAAATCCTCAGGGGTTGAACAAATTGAAACAGATTTTTGAAGGCAGATATCGGGGGGAAAAACACTAATACCTTTAGAGGACTCTTTCATAAAATGAGGGACAGAGAGACTCACTAAACAGAAGCAACCAGATCCAACAGCAGGAGGGGTCGGTCTGCATGCAAACTGCCTGTTCTCCTCAGTTACGCCAGCCTAAAGTTGTCATTTAGTAAGTGCTGAAATCCACCATGCAATGTGCAAGTCAGCTAAAATGCTATTGTATACACAAGTCTTTTTACTCTATTTTATTTTTATTTTATTGATTTATTTTTAGAGAGAGGGGAAGGGAAGGAGAAAGAGCGAGGAGAGAAACATGGGTGTGTGGCCGCCTCCCAAGCGTCCGCCACTGGGGACCCGGCCTACAACCCAGGCACATGACCCGACCGGGAACCGAACCGTTGACCCCTCGCTTCACAGGCCCGTGCTCAATCCACTGAGCCACACCAGCCAGGGCCAGAAGTCTTTTTTATTTGCATCATTAAGACGTCAATTAACTTATGTTACAACATATATAATTAAGAAGTAATTATGTGCTATTTTCCTTAGCCTTGTGAGATAAATGTTGTATTACTACAAGAATAAAAGTTGTGATCCTTACTCAACTTTGGTGATTTTAAGAAGCCACATTTCAATGGAAGAAATGGGGACATAGGGAAGTCTATCCCTGCTTAAGCTGCGTCCCATATAGGCACCATCCTAGATATTTTGATCTAAGAAACATGCAGACCTGCAGACAATTTCTGAGTTTATGTGAGCCAAACTGAGGACGACTGCCAGGAAGCTAAGTCTCCAGGAAAGACACTTCTTTCTTGGTGGGTACAGGAGAGTTCATATTTAACATCACAGCACACAGAGATGGTGTGTGGGCAACAAGAGAGCACCGAGGGGCTCTGTGGTCCCCTGTCTGGCGGGGGGGGGGGGGGGGGTGCACTGCCCTGAGGAGTCCGGGAAAGGGGGTTACTTTGACTTTCCAAGGATGTGTTATCTTAAATGCAAAAAGCCAACACATAGGCTGACTGATGGTAAAGGTTGACCTTTGTCAAGGAAGCTGCAGGCCTAGGCCGTGACTACCCACCAAGACCTTTTAGTCAGGAATTTTACACTCAGACCACCCCGTGTGGTTGTCTCAGTCTCTGAGTTTCTAGGGCCCGCCGTGCAGACCTCCCCTGGGCTTGTCAGGTTTACTGCATGGCCCCTTTTTGTCCAAAGTCTTAATAGCAAGTTGACTGAGAATTATACTTTGATGTTCAAGCAAAAATTACCAGTTTCTAAGACACTAGAGAACAGTTTGAGATGAATAAGCCTCAGAGACAGATCCAAATGAAAAGATTCAGAAGCTGTTAGTCAGACGGGAACTCAGAAAAAGAAGAATTTGTCCACTGGTAACTAGTGGAGTGCCTACCATACCGAGGGGAGTGAAGCAAGAGACGAGGCGTGGGCTGGGAGGAAGAAAGGGGGCTGGAGAGGGTTAAGTGGTTAGGACTTAGAGTAGTCACTATGGAGTATGGGGAAGCTGACGGCGACACCAAGGCGACACCAAGGGACAACTGTGGCTCTCCAGCAAAAATCAGTGGAGTCCCCCCCCAAGCAGGCATTTGGTGTTGAAAGGGCACGTGGAATGGGGCCACGCTGGGCTCAGGCCCCAGCTCTGCTACTCACCCACTGGATGGCTTTGGCAAGCTGTGTATCATCCCAAAGGGTCTGTATTTTAAGTTCTGTTCGTACTGATGAAAACACAGGTACTGACCTTGGCTGGGCAGCTCAGTTGGTTGGAGGACTGCCCTGATACGCTGAGGCTGCGGGTTCAACCCGGGTCAGGGCAAGAATCAAACAATGAGTGCACAAATAAGTGGAATAAATCAATGTTTCTTTTTACCCTCTCTCTCAAATCAATACAACATTTAAACAACAAAAAGACATTGAAGTGCATGCCATAAGGATCTCTTTCTGCAATACACCGTCAGTTAATGTTCTCTCAACTAGTTGTACACATGGTTCGCATTATTCCATCCAACCCGTGAACAGTGTGCAGGATAAACACCTGACACAGCTCCCTGGCTTCTCACTTCTACCTCAGAGAAGGAGCAAACACCTGGCAACATCTTTTTTCTGGATTTCTGGTCTTAGGGAAAATAATCATAATGGCAGGGAATACGTGTGACTTTTTCTTGTAAGTCCTGAGCAAAGGCCACTTTTTTTGTTTGCTTTACCCTTTATTCAATCCAGTGTCTAAATAAGGAGTCCTTAACACATGGGTCCATGGACAGGATTTTGGAAAGGGTTCATAAACACCTGGAAATTAGACGCCAACTGGTTTTCCACACGCGTATTTGCAAAAACTTTCTTTGCATTTTCAAGGACATCCACAGACGCCTCTTCGCCAAATGGTAATGTCTCACAGTTCAGAGCCTTCACCGTTAGTCGAGCACTGGGCAAAGCCCAATTGCCGTGTACAGCTTAACCTACGGCGTGAAACGCTACACTGCAAAACAGAACAAAAACACAAGCACATGAACCCTGACGCTGGACGGGTGTGCCCACGCCAGTTTCGAAACGCGCTTTGCAGACTTCACCTCTGTTGAGTTTGACTAGTTGCGCTAGTTGAGCATTTCTTCACCTCAATTCACCCACCACGGGAAACAAACCAACACAAGCTCTTGGGCAAAGGGTCCATTCCTCCTCCACCAAGGCCACCCTCCTGGCTCCACAGCCTGGCACGTCGCAGGTGACCACGTGGCAGGGCCACGAGGCAGCTCTCAGGGTCCAGGTGGCGGCGCCAGCTCCCCACGTGACGCTCTCCCAAAGTCACTCACATTTCCGGGACTACGGCGTGTTTCTCCGCAGCCCTGCAGCGCCGCACACGGAAACCACGAGCCGCGGACTCACCGCCCGACTGCGCTCTTCCGAGCGCTTCGCGGAGCACACACGGGTCTCACAGCCCCAAAGCCAGGTCCGCGCCAACGCCTCAAACAAACACGGCGTCCAACACGTGACCAACGAGCAAAAACTCCAGCAGCAGACGCCGTCTCCCCGGCTGAGGCCCGCGCGCGCATGCGTGAGGCTGGGACGCCTCTCCTGGCGACGGTTTCCAAGCAGTTGTGCGACTGCGCCGCCGCAGGCCCAGTGTGCTTTGAAGGAGGGGCCGCTGATCTGGGCTGCGGCGCGCTTGCGCTCTAGCTGGACGCGGGCGTTTCTTTCCTCCCCTTTTTCGGAACTGGTTTTGAGGGGTAGATTCGAGTTACAAAATGGCGGCCTGGACCGTGTTCTGTGCTGTTCCCCCGGCAGTTTCCGGTTGAACGGGTGGCTGTCCCCGTCCCTGCAGAACCCGGAGAGACGAGGCTCTCAGGGGATATGGTGTGTGAGACTCGGGACTTGCTGATTACCGAGTCCTTCGAGAATCTCTGTGCACCGGGAGCGGCCAGGTGCTCTCACCCGGCGACGAGCAGCCTCTGCACACCGGAGCACCGCCGCGCATTCGAGCTTCGCCGCGCCAACAGTCCATCGAGTGCCGCGGCAGCCGCCCGGGAGGTGAGAGGTGGTCCCTCCTAGTAAGAAGGGACAAGGACAAGTGCCGGAGCCGGGTGCGCGGACGGCTGGGCGGGTCCAGGGTCTGGGGAGCCGAGCCGGATCGGCGACGTACTAGTAGATCTGGGTCTGGAGGGGCCTGGACCCTGGGAAGGAGGAGGCGGAATGAAGGGCTGAGGCTTGAGAATGGGACGCGGGGCGTGGGGGAAGCTCGGGAGGGTGGGGCGGGATGACAGCAACCACGCAGTCAGGGGTTGTTTGTGAGGTCGGCCTTGGGGTCGGCCTGTTGGGGCTGTGGTGTCTGATCTATCTAAGGCTCGCCGGGGTGCGGGGCCCCCACCGGAGGCCGGAGCAGGCCAGGGCTGCCCCGGCGAGGCCTTCTGCTTTACTTCCTAGGGGTTTCTCTCGGTACTTCTTTCCCCTCGGCCGTTCCATCTGTCTCTTCTCGCCCCCTTTGGCCAGGCTTCAATTTCTTAATGCGACGCCAGGCCATTGATCATCCCATTACTTTGTTCCTTTAAGAAAGAAGCAGTTTCATTCCTCCCCTCCCCCGCCCGCCCGTTCGGTCTCTGGGGTCCACCCCTTGTTCTCTTTTCCCTCGAGGTACTGCACAGTAGGTACACGGGTGTGGACTCAAGTTCAGCCCCCTCGGGCTGGGCAGGACTGGATGGCAGAGACCATCCCTCCCTCCAGTTACCAAGTTTCAGTTTCCCACCGCAGTGCTTCGCAGAAATCATCTCATAACTTGATGCCTTTTAACCATAAGCCCAAACGGTTTTTAAATTCCCTAAAACAGCTCATAAGTCTCCCAGGGTGCCAGGCCTGATTTTAAGTACTTCACAAGAATGTTTTTTTTTTCCTGACCTTGCATAAAAAGAAAAGTTACGGTATGAAGTGTCATGCTTTGAAATAAAATGGATTTAAGCTTGGCTTCTAATTCAAGTAAATTCTCTTCTTCCATAATAGAACTTTTAAGGTTTGGAGGAAAAATAGTACTTTATATCCTTCGCTTCTAACAAAACTTGCTTCTTTAATATTTATTAAGCCCTTCCTCTGTTCCAGGCATATTCTAAGTTTTTTGTTTATCACATTTACCTTTCATACTTCCCTGTTCTAAAGATGAAGAAACTGAGTCACAAAAATTAAATAACTTGCCTCAGGACTCATGCAAGAAAATGGAAAACTGGAACGCAAGCATCTCACTGTGGTGTTTTTCAAATGCGCGATGCCCCCGATCACTGCTGTGGCCGCAGCTGGAGCGCCTGTCACCACCGGGCAAGTCCGGCCAGCGCACAGCCCGCAGACCCCTGCCCCTGGTCAGGTGCTGATTGGCTGACCGTGGTGGAAGATGATGGTTTGGCTGTGATGATTATCTCTTCCACTGTGGGCAGGAGTTAGAGGTTGAAATTGTATCTTATTACAGTGTTTGCACTTGCAGCTGCACCTCCTTTTTCCATTTAATAATAAGTCATTAGCCGTTAATAGTTAATAGCAATAGAGGCTATTTCATCTTCCCCCCTTTTCTGCCCTCTGGTGGAAGTATTGGTTACTGCACAGGAAAAGGGCCCGAGGAAGGCGCGCAGAGACCTAGGCTCAGATAGTTCAAATTCAATGAGGACACAAGTCCATTGCTTGTTTTTGTTTGGATTTCAAAAATTAGTAGCAAAACTTGGCCAAATATCTGTGGGGAGACTTTAAAAAAGGATTCAAAGATTATTAGGATGTTACTCAAAGCTGACAACCCCTGTGTAGTGACAGGGTCAGATTTTGGAGCGCTTTGGAGTGTCGTCATTTGTGTTTTATTTTATGGACACTAAGATAAGTAGTTTGCGTATTAATGACCATGAAGTTCCAGAACTTACCCAGGCCCTGGGGAGCTGAGGGCAAAGCAGGAGGAGAAAGACTCTGGGGAAAGGTGTGGGCGGGCCTCAGGAGCCCCAAACTGGTGTATACGTTCCTGGGCAAGGTGGGGGGCGGAGAACCCGTTGAGCTGGTGAGTTAGCGCGCTCACAGGGGAGCTGTCAGCTGATTGTTTTTGTTTTTATAGCAGAGGAAACAGAGGGCAGGCACAGGCACCCTCTTTGGCCAGGCCTCGTGACCTCGGCAGAGCCGCACTGCCAGTCTCTGCTGCCACCCCGCCTGCCCTGCGTGACAGGGGTTGAGCTCAGGGCTTACCTTCAGAACGGTTGTAAACTCTCAGATTGTGAACCCATTTATATTAACTACATTTTGAGCTTTTAAATGGTGTCCTATCGCAGCAGTGTGCAGTTTGCGGTAGTTAACATTCAGTCTTGGGAAATGCGTTCACATCAGCAGTCTGCCGCCCAGGGAGGGGCCCGTGCTGTGGGGGTGGGACCACCGCCTCACCGCAAGTCCTGCCCGAGAATGGGCTTCTTCACTGGATCACCTTGAAGAGAATTTTAAATATTAAAAGTCTTTGTCTGTAGCAAGACCATAATTTGCATAGAATAAGTTAGTTGAGTACTTCTTGATTATATATATACAGTATTTAAGATGGCAGGTATTTAAAAAATCCACATTGAGGTGGCATGTTAGTTTTTCCCAGAGAGGGCTGGGCTCCAGCTGCTCAGAGAGCGCGCCAGGGCGCCTGCGCAGGCCTGCCCTGCCCTGCCCTGCCGTGGCTGTCCTCGCAGCCCCAGATTGGCTCTGACTCCTGGGAGCCCAGCACACCTTTGGGAAGGTCTCGGTGGTTCCCGGTGGTATCAGGAATGGTTTTTATCTCGTTTCATGCTAGAGTGAATTTTTTTAATTCTCTCTAAGAGTGCTCTCCTGGTCTAGAAAAGCAAACTTTTTACTTCTAAACTTTTTACTTTCAGGGTTGCAAAAATGGCCAAAAGGATTGCCGAGAAGGAATTGACAGACAGGAACTGGGATCAAGAAGATGAAGCAGAAGAGGTAAAAAGCAGTTTCCCTAGGAACAATTTCCCACTGTCTCTGCATTTAAACTTCGGTTCCTCGGGAAGACTGTGGGAGTGTGGAAAGGCCTCTTTAAGGCCACGCTGCACAGGAAACTGGGAGGTTTCCCTGGACCTGCGCTCAGTGTGGGCGTTGGTTCACTGCACTGATGTGCCTTGCCCCCTGCCCCGAGTCCCTGCAGTGCTCCGCTCCTTTGAAAAGCACCTCGCTCCTGAATTGCCTGTGTGCGCAGCATTCCAGACCCTTGGCCTTGTCGGGGCTGAGTCAGTGATCTCGTGCAAACCTGAGAAGTGGTGCACCACCCGCCACCCTGCAGATTCCTGGAGAGTCAGGTCGCCTCGTGACGCTGATCTTGAGACCAGCTTTATTTCCTGTTCTTATAGATCAGAGATACGCCCGCCACACACGCACACACACAACAGTGGCGTTAGTAGGAATAGAATTTAGAGTGACCTGGTTTCCTTGCCATCAAGATAAGAATGGTCTTCCCTGAGGAAATTTTCTATTTCACAGAGTGGAGCACAGCAGTTGGGTACTCCAGGCCGGTCTATAAGCAAGTTGGCCTGTGAAGTTGGCAAAAGAGTACCAAGTAAAAGGATTAAAACTAAATTAACCTGCAAAAGTGCGTCTGAGCTTTTTCTTAGACTGCTGTCTTCTTTCTGAGTCTATTTCCTAGTCACTGGTATTTTTTCCTTTACAAATACAAGTACTAATGTGGTTGCAGGAGTCAAAGTCACAGGCACACTAATATTTTAACGGGGCTTGTGACATGTTTAACTGATGTGGTGCTGCTTAACCAGGACTCCATAACTGAGTTTTTTCCAGATCTCACGTACGGCTCTGTCCGGGGTCTGGTGAGCCTCAGGCTACCATATAAAGGTTTGCTTTGACATTAAAATGGCTTGGGAATGAAAGGAGCTCCTGTGTGGATAGATTCACAGGAATGAGTGTGGAAGGGCATTACATTTAATTTGGGCAAATGGAACCGAATGCCCTCTTCTGGGGATGCAGAGATCTCGCCATTAAACGTCTTCTGCAGTAACTGTAGAACTTCTCACAGAAAATGTCGCATGCTGATCTGCAGGGAAAGGGAAGGAGGAGCTGAAGGCACAGGCCTGTAGTGCGCCCCTCCTCGTGGACGGAGCGCTCGGGGCGCCCCTGGAACACTTCCAGCAGGCACTTGGGGTCCCGTGCCTCAGTGGTCTTGGATGAAGGGCAAGTGGGCGGAGCTCTTTTAAAAATAGTGTGTTTCCGACATGCGGGTGTTACTGGGAGAGTGGGAGTGGGGCGGCACTGGGTCGGGGCACCGGCTGTCAGCGCAGCGTACCTGTCAGTAAAGCCTCTGAGTGCACGGGAGGCACTTGAAGACCGCGCTGAGTGGTGGGCACCACGGCTTTGGTGGGCCCGGCCTGGCCGGAGGTTGGCACACAGTCTTCTCTGTGGTTCAGGTCTGTGGGTTCTGGAACCCGTCTTGACTCACGTGACTGGCGTTGGAACAGATCATAGTAGACACGGCTTTATTGCCCTCTCTGCAAGTCGTGTTACGACTGCTAACAGCACTTAAAACCGGCAGGTGCTTGGCAGGCTTGCCCGGCCCAGCTCTCCCTTCAGCGTCCTCTCTCCTTTCTAGCCTTGTCTTGCTGCCATTGACTGTGTGCTCCCACAGGTGGGGACGTTCTCGGTGGCCAGTGAGGAAGTCTTGAAGAACAGAGCCATAAAGAAAGCGAAGCGGAGGAACGTGGGGTGCGAAGTGAGTATTTTCCCCCATTTCCCACCTGGGGGCAGTCAGATCAGTAGACGCTGGTTAAAGTGCTGGCCTCATGCGTGAGAGTCCTAGGTGTGGTCCCCCCAAAAAAACTGTAAACGGGAGCCGAGCCTTCCTGGAACAGAAGGCAGAATTGGCAAGTTACACAGGTGAAGGGGCAGCGAGGATGGCCTCAGAGAAGGCCAGAGACGGCGTGTCGGGTGGGAGCGAGAAGGGACAGAACTTGTCCCTGGAGTTGTGTGGGACTCACGACTTGAGCTGCATGGTCGGGTTCAGCAGTCAGCCCCACAGCGCTCGGCGCGGCTGGGTGCGTCTCGTCTGGCTGCGAATGATGTCCGGGCAGCCCAGATGTCTGCTGTACCGTGGCAGGGGACGCACCTACGCAGCCACACCTGCTGCCAGGGCTCTTCAGACTTTTTATTTAAAAAACAAAATTCCAAGTTCTTTTCTTGTCTAACCTCATTCTACAGACTGGCACTTAGTTGGATGTGGGTGTTAAAGTCAAGTGAGTTTCGACAGGGGAAGGGACAACTTACTGGGGAGGAAATGGCAGGTTTCTGTGTGGAAATTAGTCTGAGGGCCTGCGGGGCGGCTCCACTGGGCGGCTGCTCAGGACAGGAGTGGGGTGAGAGGTGCGTGCAGCCTGGGAGCTCCCAGAGGCAGGAGGAGCTCGGCCACACAGGTGCGGGCAGCCATGGGGCGCCGAGCAGAGGCCTGAGTGGAGCCCCCAGAGGGAGACGGCCTCGAGGAGGATGGCTGAGCTGTTGGCTGAACGGGGGCGAAGAAATAGAAGCCCTGTCGACATCCGTCCACACTTAGCAGGGGCAAGGGGCGTCCTCCCTGTTAAAGGAAATAGAACACAGGTGGATATTTGAAATCCACAAATAATTTTAGCTGCAACTTTTAGCATCAGGTTTCTGTTCGAGGAGTTAAGTGTTCTGTCATCCACTTAGAGGCTGGAGTGTAGCTTCTCCCCGGGAGCTGGCAGGTTTCGCTGCCTGCAGACCCGCTGGGGCGGGGCCGCAGTGGGGGCGGGGCCACAGTGGGGGCGGAGGCGGACCGGAGCAGGGCGTTTCTGTTTCTGTTTCCGTTTCCGTGGAGCCCAGATGGACATTTTCTCGTTCAGCTTTTTAGCTCTGGTTGTGCTGAATGTCTCACTCCTTTTAAAAAAAACAGTGGCTATTGAATTTTGGTCATGATTCTAGAACCAGTTTACTATCAGTAATTTCAAAAACAGCTATAAATACCACGTGGCTTTTAAACATCATGCAAAATAAAAGGGTCTGAAGGGCCGCCTTTCCCATTTCTCTGCAGATCGCCGTTACAAAATAACAGTTCAGTGTATTTTGGACTTTGAATCCTCAAAAACCAGATTTAAAGCATCAGAACCTAAGCTATATTTATTACATGTATTGAAAGTCATACAAGTCAGGGTCTGCCATTCTTGTCTGATATTGTTGCCATGAGTTTATCAGTGGTCTGCAACTGTCTGAAATTCCGTAGATGTGAGGAAACACTCGTGGTTTTTGAGAACTGTGCAGTGGTGTGAGGCCGACTGGCCTGTTTAGAAAAGGAAGAGTTTCCAGTTAAAGTAATTTCTCTGTGAGATCGTGATTGTCATCATATGTGTGGGAACTTACAGTTTATGCACACTCTCAGGCGCCTGAAGCCTGCTGTCCGTGACAGAGTTTTGGGAGTATTTCCTGCAGCCTCCCTTGCATCCTTGGTCTGAGATCACCCCCCAACCCCGTGGCTTAATCACTACCTTGAATGGAGAAAGGGTCTTACAGAAATTGTCATGACTTCAGCAAAGCACAGTAAACACTGAGGGAGCCATTCTTCGAAAGTCCTCAGGGACAGAGCAGCAGCTTTACAATCTGCTAAGAAATGCCAAGCATTCCGAAGCCTCTTGGCTTAGAGATGGGGAGCCGGCAAGGGTGGGAGCAGCCCGCTAGAAAGACCCGTGGAAGGGAGCAGCCGGCGAGTCAGAGGGGAGCGCTGCCTCTGTCTTTCGTGGCTGCAGAAAATGTGCATTGGAGAGGCACCTCGACCTTCTGGGTGTTTGTAGGCTGAAAGCAGGTGGGAAGCTATGGGTTTTGTTGGAAACTACAGGTTAACTGGGTAAAACACTTTCAGTTTTCCTAATTTGACCTTGTGCAGCCTTGTTAGGTAAATTGTGAGCGGTAGGTACTTGAAAGATACTTAGTTCGGGGCTTGGTTATGCTGAGAGTGTGTTTTCAGTTCTGACGCTGAGCAGTGGGTCTGTCCATCACTGTGTTTTTTCTCTTCCCTTTGGTATCTTACTGCTCTTATCTTGATTCGGACTGTGCTCGACTCTCCGAGGCAGCTCCCGTCTCCAGAGCTGTGGTTGTGAAAAGTTCTCCCGTGCGAGTCTGGTCCAACTGGCGGGGTCCTCCGCGCCGGTTGTGTGAGGATCCCAGTGCCATTCGGCCGTCGTAGCAGCAGCAGCAGCATGAGTTTGCTTCTTGGCTACGGCACCTTATCTCATGTATGTCCTTTCTTTATGTTTCAGTCCGAAAGTGGGGGGGCCTTTAAAGGCTTCAAGGGTTTGGTTGCACCTTCCGGAGGAGGAGGGTTTTCTGGATTTGGTGTTTGTGCTGGATCGAAGCCTTTGGAAGGACTGTCCAATGGGAACAGCGTGACCGGCGCCTCTCCCTTCTCCAGTGCCCGGGCCACCCCCGAGACCAAGGCGGCCTTCGGTAAGTCAGCTTCCCTCCCCCCACTGACACCTATGTGAAGGTGATCCAGGAAAACTCACTTCACAGAGATGTTTTTCTTGTATTTAGGTCCTGGGGCTGTACGAGCAAACGCTACAAAGAAAAGGGAAGGGGGTTAGAGACATGTTGGCCGTTTATGAATTTGGGCAGAGCACGAGCTTTCAAGCCAGAATAGACCTAGATTCTGTTCTCAGCTCTGTTGCTTGCCAGCTCCGAGACCTTGATAAAGTTCCTTAACCTCTGGGCCTTCAACTGGGCAATAAGAAGGACCCTCAGAACTGACCTGAGGGTCAGAGGAGGAGGGGAAGCTCTGGGCAGGGCCCGTGAAGGCCTGCCCTCCCGGCCCCTTGCTCGGCCTTGCGGGTGCGGACTTCTACCTGGTTGGCACCCAGCGGAAACCTGGGGCTCCTCCCCTCAGGGCACATTTCGCACGGCGGATGTTGGTTGCCTGGTTGTTTTTGGAGAGACGTAGTCAGAGCTTTGGGGATTAGCAACAGAGAATGGGGACCTGGGCGGGAGCCCCGGGTTCTTGGAGGTGATTGTTGGGACTGTAGGCAGTGAGTTGTTTGAAATGTGCGCAGAGTTTCATTTTAACGAGGCAGAATGGTTAATGGAGTGAAATAAGCACTTCCTTATCATATTTTCTGTCCTAGAGCCTTGGGGGCTGAGTTTTATATTAATGATATTTTGACAGTTGTGAGTGAAATGGCATCCTTTTAAAGGAAAAAGATTATTTTAAAATTACTAACACAAGCATGTAAGAGATACTGCCCTCGTATAAAGTTTGTTTTGATTTTTGTGACAACCAGATCCTAATTAGTAGATGTGCGTGCACTTCTTGAACTGTCACCAGACTGGATGCAGTGAAAGCAGAAAATAGGAAGAATGACATAAAAACCTAGATGACTTAGTCAAGTCAACTTCTGTATAAATCTTAAAACTTGAATTTCCTGTAGGATCTGTTGCTGCAAATGGCCCCACCTCCTTGGTGGATAATAAGATGTCAGATCCCAAAACCAACGGTGACAGTCAGCAGCCCACTCCTGCCCCGGCCCCTGCGCACCGAGGGAGCGCCTATCACAAGCAGCTGGCGGCCTTGAACTGCTGCGTGCGGGACTGGATAGCAAAGCACGTGGACGCCAACCCGCTGTGCGACCTGACGCCCGTCTTCAAAGACTACGAGAAGTACCTGGCGGGCATTGAGCAGCAGCTCGGCCACAGTGGCAGCAGTGACCCCGTAAGGGAACCCAGCACAGTGTCACTTGACACCCAGTCTCCCGCCCTGTTTGGTTCAACCAAGTTACAGCAAGAGTCCCCGTATGTGTTCCCTGGTGACAGACGGGAGGAGGGCGCCCCTGAAAAGAAGATGGAGGCTGTGCCTGAAAATAGAGGGGACCCGCCACCCGCCGCAGCAAGTGCCTCCTTTAGTTCCGGCAAGAAGGTCGATGGTTCCGTTTTTCGCTTGTTAAACTCTGGCCCCCTGGCTGGGTTTTCCCTTCCTTCTGGAAACTCCAGTTTATTTGGCAAAGATACTACCCAGAATAAGCCAGTTTCTTCACCGTTTTCCATTCAGACGGTGGAGAGGCCAGTGGACGGCGGCAGTGCTGACTGCAGAGGTAAGCGTCAGGCTGGCCCTGAGTCCCGTGGGTCTGTGCGAGCCCTACCCTGGTGGCGTAGGCACCCCGCTGTCAACTTGTGAGCCGTGTGGGATCCTGGGCCAAGCTGACCAGCCTTTCTTTATTTTATTTTTTAATTTTTACTTACGGATTTGAGAGAGACATCAGTGTGTTATTCCACTTACTCATGCATTCGTTGGTTGATTCCTGTACGTGCCCTGCCCGGGTATCAAAGCCGTGACCTTGGTACACCAGGACGCTGCTCTGACTGCGCTGGCCAGGGCTTGAGGGGCCTCCCTGAGTCTTTGCTGCCATATTACAAAATGGAGTGAGGCCTGTTTTGTAGGGTCATTATGAGGGTTAAAAATATAGAAAAATTAAAAATCTAAAATATTCTGACTCTGGAAAGTATTGAACACATAGCTTTGCATGTAAAAAAGAATTCGGTGAATTAACATACTTGGGAAAATTGTGGGTTTTTTTCTTTACTACTTTTTTAAAATACATTTTATTGATTATGCCATTGCAGTTCTATTCCCCCCTTCATTCCCCTTTACCCTGCACACCCCTCCCCCACCATTCCCCCCCTTTAGTTTATGACCTCCTGTCTCAAGTTCTTTAGATTCTATGTTTCCCATACTATCCCTGGCCTCCCCCCTATCTATTTTCTACCTACCGTCTCTGCTACTTATTCTCTGTACCTTTTCCCCCCTTCTCCTCCTCCAACTCCCCTGTTGCTAACCCTCCATGTGATCTTCATTTCTATGGTTCTGCTCCTGATCTAGATGTCCTCTTAGTTTGCTTTTGTTTTAGGTGTGTTGTCCTCTTAGTTTGCTTTTGTTTTAGGTGTGGTTCTTAATAACTGTGAGTTTGCTGTCCTTTCACTGTTCATCTTTTTTATCTTCTTTTTCTTAGGTAAGTCCCTTTAACATTTCATATAATAAGGGCTTGGTGATGATGAACTCCTTGAATTTGATCTTATCTGAGAAGCACTTTATCTATCCTTCCATTCTAAATGAAAGCTTTGCTGGATAGATCAATCTTGGATGTAGGTCTTTGGATTTCATGACTTGGAATACTTCTTTCCAGCCCCTTCTTGCCTGTAAGGTCTCTTTTGAGAAATCCGCTGACAGTCTGATGGGAACTCCTTTGTAGGTGACTGTCCCCTTATCTCTTGCTGCTTCTAGAACTGTCTCTTTCATTTTAATCTTGGCTAATGTAATTATGATGTGCCTTGGTGTGTTCCTCCTTGGGTCCACCTTCTTTGGGACTCTCTGAGCTTCCTGGATTTCCTGGAAGTCTATTTCCTTGGCCAGATTGCGGAAGTTCTCCTTTATTATTTGTTCAAATAAGTTTTCCACTCGTGGCTGTTCCTCTTCCCCTTCTGGTACCCCTATAATTAGGATGTTGGAACGTTTAAAGATGTCCTGGAGGTTCCTAAGCCTCTCCTGATTTTTTTGAATTCTTGTTTCTTCATCCTTTTCTGTTTGGTCTTTTTTTTCCTCCTTCTGGTCCACTCCTTTGATTTGAGTCCCAGTTTCCTTTCCATTACTATTGGTTTCCTGTGCGTTTCCACTCATTTCAATTAGTTTAGCCTTCATATGTTCCTCTAATTTGTGACTAAAATCCACCAGTTCTGTGAGCATCCTGATAACCAGTGTTTTGAACTGTGCATCTGAAAGACTGGCTATTTCTTCATCACTTAGATTTATCGGCTCTGGGGCTCTGAATTGTTCTTGAGCCATGTTTTGATCTGTTTGTGCCTGTTACTTACGAGTAGAGGCGCCTTAGGTGTTCACCAGGGGGTGGCCACCCAGGTTGCTGGTTTGTGATGCTGTACGTGGGGGCGGGTCAGAGAGAGGCCACCCAGGTCGCTGGTTTGTGGTGCTGTATTACGGGGGCGGGGTCAGAGAGGGACCGTGGCAGTCCCCTCTTTCTCTTCCCACCACTGGGGCCTGCGTTGTCCGTCTCACCACTCGCTCCTTCACCAGTTTATCTGTGGGTGAATGTGTGACTGTGTTCAGCCCTCAGTGGGTCCGCCCGCTTCTCCACACCTGGGATCCGCCTACGGCTGCCGGAGTGCCTGGGTTGCGCACCAGGGTCGGTCCGATGGATCTTTCTTTCCTGCCCGACCCCGCTCTGCTGCTGGCTCTGCCCCTCTTACCGGTTTGGCTGAAGGGTTTGTTGTTGTCAGACTTCCGTATAGTTCAATTTTCTGTGGTTTGGTTGCGTTTTTGTTGCTAAAACTGTTGTTTTTAAACTTGGTTGTGTGAGAAGGTGCAGTGCTTCCACCTACGCCTCCATCTTGGCGGAAGTTTGGGAAATTGTGTTTTATTCCACTGCATTGTTTGTATTTAGCAGATTTGGTTATAAATAAAGTCCCATAACAAAGCAGGGATGTTAAATTTAAAAGGTAGACTTTTCATAGCAGGGAGAAGACATTAAATGTCTTCCCAAGACATTGGGAAGACATTTAACGTCTGGGTTACAGCCTCCTTCCAGAAGTTTCTGCTGTGTGTAGTGTCTGTCCTCAGTGAGGTGAAGAGGCCGGACCTTGGTCCCAGCCCCTCCACCCCCTCCGGGCTCTGAGCTCTCTGAGAAGGAAGGGCTGTGTCGTCAGCCTCTTCCTGCCTGGTGGCTGCGAGCAGCAGACATGCTCTCACGGTCCCTCTCGGGTGGTGACACGTGATCCTGGAGGGGGAAAACCACAGTTGGTTGCACATTTTTTATAAGCTGCGTTTTCCTCTGGAGCTAAACTTGGTCACTGGTGCGTCTTGCCCCGCCTTCCAGCATGTCCTCGGGCAGGGGCCTTCTGGGGCGAAGTGTAGGTGAAGGTGTCCGTTTTGACTTCCCCGCTGCCCTGGGCAGGATGACTGGGGAGTGGCCTAGGCCTAGGCCGGTCACAGGGACGTGACGCTGGTCTAGGGATGTGGCATTTGAGTCAAGCCTACACCTCTGCAGGAAGGCCCTCATGAAGCACTCAGTGCTCACCTTGTGCTGGTCACATGGGATGCATGGGAAGGACTTGGGAGAGCTTGTTGAAACCTCAAATGCACCCCAGAGAACCCCGCTGGGGGCCCTGCTCTGAGAACCGGGGCTCTGGAGCGCCTTCCCCAGACTCAGGGCTTGTGGCTCGTCTGGGCGCCAGAGCTGTTTCTCCAGGGGTCGCTTTTTAACTTAGGGTTTGTGGGGCTGCCTTTCTCTTTAAGAGGGTGGGTGTTTGCATCTAATGCAGGGTCTTAAGAGCTCCCCCGTGCTTGGGGCGGTGGTGTGGAAAGGAGCCGGAAGCGCTGTTCTGGCTCAGTGGGGTGTGGGGTCGGAGAGGCCTTCGATTCCGATGAGGCTGCAGTTGCTTACTGCAACTTGGCCTGGGGGTGATTTTTCAGACAGCTCACCCTGCGAAACACCGTTTCTGCTCCCCAGCTGATCGATGGCGACTGTCCCTTGGTGCGGTGCGGGTGTGGTCACGGGAACATTGGGTGATGAAGATGTTAGAGCCTGTTGGAGACTGCAGTTTCTCCTCAAATCCATTTTTAGAAAGTACAGAGTTTAGGCTTCCTTTAGGTGCCGGGAAGGGGAAGTACAGAGGTATCTGTACCTCTGGGCCCAGGCATCTGGGTGCCGGCAGGGGCCGGAGGAAGATGGTGCTCATTGGTCTGTCGACCCTCCTTGACGTGAGTCTGGTCAGGAGGTCCCGCAGCTCCCTGATACACAGAGCGTCCATTCCTTACCTCCCCTCCTGCGAGAGGCACTTTTGGGCAAGGGACTGTTTTTGTGAAACTCCAGCCCCAAGCGCGTCTGCAGCAAAGCCAAGCGGGAGCTCTGAGCCCGAGGCCACGGGAGTGGAGCCGGCTGGGAGGAGATGGGGTCGGAGAGGCCCAGTGGTTCTCTCTCTTACAGGGTGACTTGAGTTTTCTTTGACAGTTTGTATATACACTGAGTTATAAGCAAAGATGTTTTGTCATTGCAAGGCTTTCTACCGATTAACATTTGTTTTAAAAAAAGTATGTTCCCATTAACAGTTGTTCTCATTTTTCACAAAACAATTAAAATCCAGTGGGCGAGTCCCACTCCATCCCACACACATACACACAGAAAAGTTGGTATCAGCTTACATGACATTTTTAGGTTGAAATGGGGGTAGATCGCCAACTTTGTCGAATTTTCAAGCTCTTGGTTCAACTGGCTGAGCTGGTTTTGTTTCTGTGAAAGGTGGGGACGAAGAAGAGAGTGATGAGCCGCCCAAAGTGGAGGTTGCAGAAGTCAAAGAGGAAGACGCTTTTTACTCCAAAAAGTGAGTGCCACTCTGGGGTCCCCTCAGTGACCGCGTGTCCACACGTGGGTGGGCTTCTGGCTGGAGGGTGTGCGGTGGCCGTCCTGCGACCCAGTCTCGGGCTGGCAGGGCCTGCTCCCTGGACGGTGGCAAGGAGCCTTCTCGGTCTGTCCCTTTGGAGACACAGCATCTGAAAGACCTTGCTGGGCTGGGCCTCCTCTCTCCCGCTGACGCAGCTCTTCTCTGCATTGAGAGGGCTTCACGTGGGCCTTTTCTCTCCCCTCCTGCCCCCAGCTCATCTGCCTCTCCTCTCTTTTTATTCTCCCCTCCCTCCTCTTCCTCCTATGGCCCCCCACGAGGAAAGTCCCTGTCACCGAAGGCAGGTCCCCTTCTGTTTTCACACGGAGGTGCCTCTGACGCACCTGGAGACCCGGTTCGCCCTCGAGGATTTCCTCGCAGCTCTGCACACTCTCCCTTCCCGTTAAGGGTGTGTGAACGCCGTCTCCCCCGCTGATGGGAGCCGCCTCGTTCTTAAATGCCTTGGGGTGACGTGGGTTAACAGACTAATGCGGGTGTCGGCGTCCAGCTCTGCGCCACGTCACCTGTGGGTTGCACTGTGCGCTCAGCGCCAGGTCAGACCCCCTTCCGTCAGCGTCCCTTGGGCCTGTGTGTTGAGTGCGAGTGGCCGCTCAGAAGAAAACAGAGGGAGAGGTGGACTGATCTCGTCTCTCGGGGAGAGGAGACTCGTGCCTCTGACACATAGTTGCTCAACACCATTTTGGCCATTTTAGAAGATTCCCTAGATGTATTTTTCTAATTGGGAAACTTGAGACTAATGAGTCAGCAGTTCTTGTAACACGAATCATCATATCCCATGAGGTTTTCGAGTGGTCATGACTTCTGAGAACTTTGAAAAGAAGTCAGCCATTCTGTTGCCTGTTTTAAAATGTAATTACGCGGACGACACAAAGGAGGGGCCTTTTTCCTCAGACGAGTGCTTTCTCCTAATCGGAGTGAGTCTGAGGAGCGGTGGTTTCGATTGTTCGTGAATAACCTGAGGAGCCACGAGACGCAGCGGCCAGCAGACGTCTGATTGCACGGTCGTTAATCAGGAGACCGGAATTATTGCAGGAGCCCTGGGGAGAACTCAGAAATGAGAAATGGGGGGGGGGGCTGGGGGCAGAGTGTTTGTCCTGTGTGGGCTCTTGTCTTTGGAGGACCAGACTGGGGGAGCAGAGTGTTTGGCCTTGACTTTGGCAGACTTGAGAAAAGGTAGTTTTGAAAAGTATTACTAAAAAATGTTCCATGGGACATCATGCCCCTCTCCTTTTTTGGAGAATGAATAAAAACTTTATTCTCTTAAAAAAAAATGTTCCATGGGGCCCACTATCTAAACTACCGTGACGAAACGGGAGGGTTCTCGGTGAGGCACCGGCTGCTCCTGCTCTGGCGGGTGCCCGGGCCCGGTCAGTGTGGGTTTTCCTCGCAGGCGTGTTAGCTCGTGTTACAGAACGGACTTGATTTGTCGTCATGTGTCTGGCTGCACCCATTGTTTTTCTCCACAGGTGTAAACTATTTTACAAGAAAGACAATGAATTTAAAGAGAAAGGTGTAGGCACTCTGCATTTAAAACCTACGGCGAATCAGAAGACACAGCTTCTAGTGCGAGCAGACACCAACCTAGGTGGGTGCCTTGTCCCTCGGGCTGCAGCGTGCGCCAGCCCTTCCCCCGGCCGAGTCCAGTCCCTGAGATTGTCGTGCAGGCTGATGCGGTTTTTGGGGGGGGAGTCGTTCCGGCACACGCATCCTGTGTTTCCGGACTGACTCGGGTGCTGCAGTGGCCGTGTGTAGGACGTGGGGACTGGAACAGCTGTGGCCGAGGAGGAACCGTCATGGTGCTCGTGTTCCTTGGTGTCAGAAACACGTCTGACAGGCTGTAGGTAAATTGGACAGTTTAATAAACACACGGGGGGAATTCGTCATTTAAAGGAACCCTTTTTAGATAGCAGATAGTCACTAATCCACCCCTCAGCCCACGCCCAGCGTCGGCCTAAAGCAGTCCACGGAGGAGGGGAGTCTGGCAGGGCTGGCAGGGCTCAGAGCGAAACTCGGAGGCTCTGTCCCTCCTGCGAGCTTGACTGTTGTGTGGCCTGTCACGGGGGTGCCACTCCGACCCGGTGAGCCGTAGCAGCCCCCGGGACACAGGTCTCTCTGCCGGCCACTCTTCCTTTTGTCGGCCTCTCAGTGGTGACTCCGGGTTATGCCAGCGTGCTGGTTTCTCGGGACAGGAGTGGGCGGACTTCAGGGGCTGCTGTGGTTCTTGAAGGCAGCTCCTCCTCCTCCTCTTGAAGGCAGCCAGGTGGAGTCCCCGTCCTGCCAGTGCCTCATGGGCCTCTCAGGGCACCGTTGGACCCTGCCTGCTTTTGGGACATTCCTGTGGCTCCCAGTTTTCGGTCCAGGAAGCGAGTTGCCGTGGTGTTCAGTGTTTAGCCTCTGGTAGCTCCGTTTCCGTGGAGCTGCCGTCTGTGTGACTCGGGCCGTGTTTTGCAGGTAACATACTGCTGAACGTCCTGGTCCCTCCCAGCATGCCGTGCACCCGGACGGGGAAGAACAACGTGCTGATTGTCTGTGTCCCCAACCCCCCCGTGGACGAGAAGAATGCCACCAGCCCGGTGACCATGCTGATTCGGGTCAAAACGAGCGAGGACGCAGACGAGCTGCACAGGATCCTGTTGGAGAAGAGGGGCGCCTGAGCACCCGCGGCCGGGCTGCAGGGCGCGGCTCCTGCACAGCCTCAGCGTAGTTAGCTTTTCTTCTTTCGTTGACGTTCTCAGAACTTTTAGATAACCTAAAACTTTTGTGAGGAAAATCAATATGGCCAATAAACCTTTAACGTTTAGTGTCAAGAGACTGTACTCTGCCTTCCTGAGAGCTGATGTATAAAATACATTAGAAAGAAATTTCGGGAAAGATTTTTCTGTTCATTTACTAAACCAACCACAAGTGAATTCCTACGGACTGAATCAGGGTATCGATTGGATTTCCAAAGGCTTTTCTGACCTGAGGTGCGGGCGAGGCCTCCGACAGCGGAGTGCCCCGAGGAGCCTGGCCCGGAGCCGCCTTCCCTCGGGCTGGGCCCGTCCCTGAGGACAGCGCTCTCCCACGTGAGCCGCGCCGCTGCGCCGGGACCACCAGCCTCACCGCTTCTGTGTTCCTTCCAAGCTGCATCTGCATGGTGGGGATCGGATCGCCCCTTCTGCGTGGGGCCTGCAGCAGCCACGGGCTTCCACCCTGGAGAGGCTGTTGCCTGTGATTCGGGACCTGCGGCTTCGTTTCAGAAGAAAACGAGTAGCTTGTTCTTTGGTTTTGTAGTTGTATTCACGAGGTGCTGTTATTTGTGTCCCCCCCGGTGACAGGGCAGAGGGGGTGGCCAGGAGTGAGGTTTGAAAGCACAAATGTGGTGGCTCTGTAAACCGTGGGCAGTGAGCCCTGGGAGACCAGGTGAAGTCAGAGGTAGAGCGTAGACAGAAGGAAGTGAGGATGTTTAGTTATTTGTACCAGGGTCGCCCCTGTGGATCTCAGAACTGCTTACTACTAAGTCCCAGGCACTTTCCCTGTACACGAGCCATGTGACTCCCCCAGGAAGCACGCCGTGTGGCCGTGCAGGAGAGCGGGGGTGCCGAACGCTGCCTCTCACTCCCACGCCGGGCCGCTCGGCATCCGACCTGAGATTCCCGTCAGGATGTCCCCTGGGAGGGGCCGGGCGCCTGAGCACCGGGTCTTTTCTCCAGGGTCAGGCCCCCGACAGTAGCGTTCTTGGAGGGCCGGGCACGTGTGTAGCTGTGAACCTCAGCGTTGAGAGGTCCGTTTTCATGAACCTCTGGTGCCGGCAGCAGGGGGTCTTGTTTAGTCAGGTCAGAGTCAGTGCCTGAGGCTCCTACTTGTAATAATAAACACAGGGTCGATGCTGTTATGGTGGCCCTGGCCCAGCCCCGTGCACCTGGGTTGACCCGCTTACCCAGCTGTTAGAAGGATGAGGAAATGGGGGTGGATTCGGGTGTGTTCCTGCCTGGCCACTGGTGCCCGTCCCAGCGGGAACGGCAGACCTTGGCGGGGGCGGGCGGCCCCAGGCCCCTGCAGTGCTTAACCACTGGATCTGGGAGCCTTTGCCTGTGGGCGGGTTTGCAACTGGAGGGGCTCAGACACCCCTGTACATGTAGTTTCTACCTTTTTAAGGTAGTGGATGTGTGTGGCTTTCCTTCCTAACATTCCCAGCAAACTCGCTGCTAAGACTCACTGTTACAGTGAAATTACAGGGAAAAATGTGATGTGTATACCACAACTCAAAAATGTGATGTTTTCCTAAAATGTTTGCGCTTAGGAATTGGTTGGTACCCACTTGAACTGTGTGCTAGTGTGCAAGGGCCTCCGGATGTGTGGGTTTTACCGCCAACCCCACGTCCTGTGTGGTACCGGGGAGGGCCCTTTGCCCCGGAGGGCGGGCCAACGTGTTCTTCCCCAGCGAACTGTTGATCCGTAACGAAGTGTTAAGTCTGAAAGGACTCGGTGTGGGCCACAATTCTCATCTTTGGTTGAAAGATCTATAAAGTGGGCCACATACAGGGCCCGAAGTGATGTGTATCTCCCTTCTGTCCAGAATCAGGCACGTGGCACCTGGATGGGCGCCGAGCATCCCAGTGGCCTTTTCTCGAAGTGGCGTGTGTCCGTCTCGCCCTTCCGAGCATTCCCAGTGGGCACGACGTGGGCTGCGTGCCATCATTAGCGAGTTCCTGGCGGAAAGCGTGCGCTGAGGTTCTGAAGGTGTTCGTGTTGCATCTTCCACGGAGGGGCAAGTCTGACCGCCGCGGGTCTGGTTTCCTTTAACGATGATTGTTTTACCATTTCAGTTTCCAAGTCACTTTTCATGCAGCCAGAAACTTCCACCCGATGCTCCGTCTTCCTGTCAGTTCTGACAGCGGCTCACGGAGAAGGCCTGTGCGGTTTTGTCTTGAAGGTCGAGAGTCATTTGTTTTGGAGCATTTGTCAATCATTCCAGAACAGTCCAGATGCGAGCCCTGTGCCCTGGAAGGCTTTGGAGACTAAGGGTCTCCAAACACCAGTGTCCATTCTCATTTCAAAAGTGAGACTTTAGAGTCGAAACGGATTGTCCCGTGGTAGCAGCAGGTGAAGGGAGGAGCCTGCTGAGCCGGCCTTCCAGGCCGTGAGCCCATGGCCTCGGGTGATCTCACAGGAAGGACTGAGGACTCTCCTTTTGTGGACACAATTGTAACAGAAATGGAACACTTCCTAGCAATCAGATGGAGAAATTGTTTGCTTTCTATTTTAAATGGGAAATTGCTTTTTAAATACTTGAATTGTCAAGACAATGTAATTTCAGTTGTATTGGTTTTCACATGAGCCCATTGAGGAAGTGTAATGGCCCATGAAATGTGAATAAACGACCAGGAAACAAAAGCTGTGTGTTTGCCACCAGCACGGTCTTCCGAGGCGCCCCTGGTGGCCACACCAGGCTCTGCAGGAGGAGCCCTCATCTCGGGTAACAAGCCTGCTGGTACAGGCCACTTCCAAACCACGAATCAGAAGTTTGTGGGCTTCACTGTGGTGGGCGTTTTATATTTGTTACCCGGGTTTGTCCTCACAGCAGGCCTCCCGAGCACGTGGGCCCTGGGGTGGGCATCCCGAAGGCAGATGTTTTGGGGCGCTGTTGCTTGTAGGTGACCGAGTGGGCTCAGGACCTGTGTCCACGTCCCTCTCCGTCAAAATTCTGAGCCCTCTTAAGGACATTGTAAAACCAAGAGCATCAAAATGATCAAGAAAAGACATATTTTGAGTTTATGTAACTTTAAAAGGTTCAGTGATTCCGAAAATCACTATTGAGGCATTCACAAAGACAGTATCAGGACAGGGTTTGTATTTTTTTAAGGTTTGAGTTGTTTGGCACGGAGCTGGTTTATAGGAGGTGTGCCCTGATGAAGGGAATGTTACCGAGACTGACGTGGCCGCCTACCCAGGGGTTCCTCCGGGGCTCACACCACCTCATGAGGTGCTGCTGTAGGTGCTCAGCGGAGCGGCTAGGCTGGGACCCCCTGGACCTGTCGGTCCCGGACGCAGCAGCAGCCCCGAGGGACGTGGACAGACCGGGCTCGCCCCAGACCCGCTGAGGCAGAACCAGGTGGGAGCCGGCACCTTTTATTAAGCTATAACTCACACACTATAAAATTCACTCATTGTACAATGCAGTCATTTTCTGTATACTCACTGAGCTGTGCCCCTGTCCTCACCGTCTAGTTCCAGAATGTTTTCTGGGCTTGAACAAGTGGTTTTGATACACGTGCAGATTTGAGAACCACAGGCCACATACGCGCTCCCTACAACTTCTGTTCAAAGGTACCCTGTGACCGCCTCATCTGGCACACAGCGGGGTGGGGGAGAAGCAGCAGCGACCTCAGACCTGTGGGCCCGGGCCAGCCTCTCGTACACACGTCTCCCAGGGACTGGGTTGTGCCTAGGAAGGCAGGGGGTGGTTCTGCTTCACAGCTGAGAAAACCCAGCCCAGGTGGGGACCGCAGCCCGCAGGTTAGCCGCGGCTTGCAGAGGGGCCGGGCCCCTCACACTGATGCCAGGCTGCCGCCTGGAGGCACACGTGTGCCCAGGAAAGGGCTCAAGTTCCTTGGCTTCCACAATTGCCTAAGACGTTTTGAACAAAATTGTTTACTTAAAACATAGTCATGAAAGTTCACTAACAACTGTGGTTATTTCAAACTGAGCGGTCAAACTTTTATTAAAGTCATATTCCAGGATGAAAGACCCTTGGTCCACATACGGGACAGAAGGCTTGTTAAACCTGTGGGCTCCTGTACGAGCCAAGTCAGGAGGGAGGGAGTTCAGCACGAGGCTGTGAGCAACAGAAAAGACATCTTTTATCATCCCCCAGACAAACATTCCCTTATATCAATTATCCAGCTGCCGGTCAATCAAAGAAAGTACATCATGTTTACACACTCAGCTTGTACACACATCTACCATGAGCTGTGTGGTTGTGCAGGTTCGGTTCCTTTGCCCCCCTCCCGGGATAAAATCCCCACCGATGTTCCCTCCCGGTCAACATTTCCTTCTGAGTGAGGGCCTGCCAGTACTTTGTAAAAGTCCTTCTCGGTCAGAATTAATGAACTGAAACGGCACGACTAGGCAATAAACAGGAGTGAGGTTCTTGGCGGTGGCTTCCAGGGTAGACCTTCCCTAAATAGCAAACATTTCCCCCGGAAGAGTAAATGCTTTGAATGGACCTCCTGATTAGTTAACGAGAAGGGGTTTGAGCAGGGCAGTAAACCCCTGGTCTGTAACCCACGACCGGCCTCCTTCACCGCCACCATCTCACTGTCTGCCCGGGGCTGCCATGTGGGAAGTTCTGGCCGCGACGTTTCTAATGCGGTTTCCGAGAGGTGCCAACCTGATGCGGCGTCCCTCACCACATGGCTTCCAGGTGTGCGTGTGCTCCTCTCTGACCTCCCTCAGACCCCTCCTGTCTGCAGGGCCTTCCCTCCACCCCCCACCTGCGGCACGGAGCGCACGTGACCTGGGGGAGGAAGAGCCCACTGAGCGAGAAGGGCTCGCGGCTGCTTCCATCCGTGAGGGACCTGCAGGGACAGGCTCTGGCGGTCGGCCTGAGTCATTACAGAGCAAGGGAGCAGAGAGCCCGAGGCCCCAAATCCATCTTCTGAAAGACCAGGTGGCTTGCTGGGTGCCTGCCAACACTCAAACTTGGACCCTGACAGTTACTCCAGCCATTGTCCCCTGGGGAGGGCCCTCGGACAGGCTCACTGGGGACACTCGGGGAACCTCACACACACCGAAAGGCCGCGCCCTGCTTCACGGGGGCTGGACCTAAGGCTGACGTGCATCTCGTGATTTAGTTTTGGAAACACAGCGTCTGACCCCCTGTGGACTCCAGGGTGGCCGAGGTCCAGGTGTTGGGTGGTTGCTGTGGCATCGCCAACAACTGTTCCGAGCAAGCAGCTTGCGTGAGCACAGAGAAGTTTAGGAAATCTCTGGGGGAGAGAATAAGGTCCAACCGCTAAGTTATCATGTTGCTGTAATATCTGTATTTCACGTGAAAAACCCGATTAGAGAAAAAAAGTAGCCAGGTACAGTTTTTTTGGAGGAAGATCTGGAAGAAAATAACGTCACATTCAACATGCAAATCAACTCTCCACAGGAATGCGCACTCCTGAGCACACCCAGAGCCAGCCACGAGCACCGTGTAGAATCGACTGGGCCGATCAGAAGCTGCCGCCACGTGGTTGGAAAGACCCCTGGCGATTGGGCCTGGAAGTCCCCGGTGCCACCGTGGGGCTTTGGTGAAACTAGACTTTGTAGAAATCACTTTAGTCGCACTCCTCGAAGTCGTGGAAAATCTCCACAGGTCTCCTTGCAGGGTTCAGCATTCTTGTACGGAGTTCGTTAGGGAAGTGTGCAGTTTCATACTTGCACCTAAATCACCCAACGCTCTGTGAAGCAGGGACTCAAAGGACGAGGCAAGCGAAACTGCATCCAGCGCTCGCCAGAGGTGGAGCGTGGGTCTACGGGCCGAGGCCGGGATGCGCCGGCGAGATGGCCAGCTGGCCTTTAGGAGTAGAAAACTGTAAACACACACTCTCTGTGGCTGTGCCTTCCCCCCTCGCTAGAGGTCCTGTCCGCTGTGGAGCTGAACACAACCCGGGCCACTCAGTGTTCGAGTGCTCAGAGTCTGCATGGGGCGTTCCCAGTCCTCCAGGGCTCCGGGACGGGCAGGACTTCTTCCAGGGAGGATCGAGCCAGTGCCAGGTCCGTTAGTGAAGAGGGACAAGGAAGCCCTGGCACACGCCTGTCCTCACCCAACTCTCACAGGCAGTCTCCTGTGAGGGACCGGGTGGAGCCCGGGCCACCCAGCCCCACGAGCGCGCTTCCCGAAGAGCGGCTGTGGTCACCTCGAAAGGCTCTTCCCTTCAGGTTCAAGGCCCAGATGTCAGTGTCTCACAGCCTGTGCCCTGCTAGGGTGGGCTTTTACAAAGAGAAATAATTCTGTTTTCTGGTACCAAGACAAGAGGAAGCTCAAACAGGAAGAATCAATGTAATGCCCAAAGATACTGGTTTTTGAAACTGAATAGAAAACTAAATTCTGGCTAAACTGGAAAACTAAACAGGATATATATCAATGAAACCGACTGTCTCATTAAAAAGCTAGCGATGTGTAATATGTAAGCCTTTAAAGAATTCTGGCCCGTGATTTAAAACCACGTTAGGACAACGTGAGATGCAGTTCTCAAAGGTCAGCTACTAGACCACACCACTGCACAGGGGCTGCCCCCTGGAACTCCTCGTAACGGAGAAAAGATTCTAACTCATCCTTCAAAAGTCTACTAAGTAGTCTTCTTGTGATTAAGACAACAAAAATAGATCCTGGTTTAACTTGAGCCAGGATCTATTCTTTGGGGAAAAAAACCTCACTCTGAACATGCCTTTACTCTCATCCTCTGACCAGAGGGAAACCGCACCGACTCCCAATGACCTGTTCCGTCCCCCGTGACAGGCTGATGGGGGACATGGCTCTGACCCCGCCCGCACGCAGACAGGGCCACGGAGTGTTCCTGCTGCTTCATGTTTTCTCTGAATGTGTCTCTGGTCCTTGTGTTTTCAATGCTATTCTGCTTGCGAAACAAGGAACCTTGGCCGTTTTCACAGGCACCTGGAAGTTCCAGCAAGACGCTGGGACACAGACCACACACCGCCTCATCATTCAGGGGCCAGAAGTTGTAAATGGACATTGTCACTGATCAGACTATGACCAGGACATTTCTTTAAATGAAAAAAAAAAAAAGGGATAACTTTCTTATTAATGTCCTGACAAATGACACCTAGGTTTCCTCAAAGCCAAACTGTTAATTCCAACTGCAATGTAAAGAGTGTACGCTCTCTTAGCCACCACTGGGTGACACAAGGGACAGGCGTGCCCCCAGAAATTAAAGGTGGCCTCACAAGAAGTAAAAAGGTATCAACACCAGGACCCCTCAGGATGCTGTGGCTCTGGTGCCAGTCCTGTCACGTGTTACTCTTAGTGATGCCATTTGTCACTTTGAAAAGACCAACCTCAGCGACCGCTCAGGGCCTAGTTACCAAACACCTCTGTGCGTGTTGGAGATTCAGCCTCAGAAGTTATTTTCGGAGGATTTACGTACAGAAAGGCCACCGAACGTCACTCCCTCTGTCCCGAGCAGCAGGGCGGCAGGGCTCGGCGTCACCTGGGACCACGGCCTGGGCCGGACTCCGGGCCTCACGGCTCGCTGTCCAATCCCGGGCGGTTCACTTACCCTCGCTGGCTGTTTGCTCATCGGTAAGATGGGACGACGACGGCACCCGTGCGTTTAGCAGGTCTGCTCGTGCCAGGTGTTCCCTGTGCGCTGGACAGAGAACGGCCGAACCCCGGTGTGCGCCTGCGCACTGACGGGCCTTTACACGGGTGGCGTGCGCTCGAAAACCCCCCACTGGCACCCATTTCCAAGTTCTGTAGAGTACTTTCCTGTCACCGCGATCAGCCCTTAGACGCCCCGCGGGGCAGACGGGACAGAGGGCCCTCCCAGGCCCAAGGTCGTGCTGGAAGCGGCAGCTGGACCTGGGAGCTGGGCCGATTTCCGGTTCCGGTCGGGGAACTTCCTCAAGCCCCTACCCTCGGAGAACGGAGCCTGCCCTTCCGCTCGCGTTGGACGACCTCACCATATCATGGACTGCATTTCTCCCATGGGCCGAGTCCGTCTCCAGACCCCAGATGACCAGGAAGAAAATGTTCCTCAGAATCACTCTGGACACAAACCTGGGGGCTGGACACTCCAGCGGCACCTGGGGCACTGGGCCATGTGGGCTCATGGCTCCGAGGCCGGAAATCGTGCAGGGGGACACACGGCTGAGCACGAGCTGGGTGCTGTCAGGGATGCTAGGATGTTTGGGCCCAACCCCGCCACACATCTCCTGGGACTAGGTGTTGGGGGGGCAGGGGAGGGGGAGGCAAGCATTCAGTGTCTGACCCCTGACCCCAGTGGTGCAGAATGGCTTGCAATCATACCCGGACCCAGTCACATGATGGAACCCTGGAGACTTCAGTGAGGTAGGTGGTGTTGGCCCCATTTTACAGGTGGGCAAACTGAGGCAGAATGAAATGCAATAGCTCGCTTTTAATAACAGCATACAAAATCTAGAGAAAGCCCCCGAGTGGTCCCCCGTTCTGGAGCCCAGTGTGAACCTTCAGAGCACAGAATAAAATCACACAGGAGGATGAGCCCCTCCCACTCCTTTTTGCTCCCCCGGAGAGAACCTCGGAACACACTGCAGGAGCTGCTGAGACCCTGGGGCCCTCGAGCACAGCCACTCAGCCCCGGCGCCCCAGCTGGCAGTTTGCTCCCAGTGGGCCGGGGCAACGGGTCTGCTGTTGAGAAGGCTCGTGGCTTTGAGAAGAGCACGTGGGCTGTCACAGGTGGAAGTCCTGGCTGGCACAGGGCCGCGGGTGGGTCTGGGGCTGGGAGGCCACTCACACCCCTGACCAGTGAGTGGAGGCCTGTCCCCTTCCGCCTCGGTGAGTGGGTCTCAGAAATAGGACCCGCTCTCAGGCAGAAGGTAGTAAGCTCTAGAAAACCAGAAATAAAACACCCTCCTCCCGGCCGGCCCCCAGAGGATGGAGGTTCTAGAACCTTCCTGGGAGCATGCCAACCCCACCCCACCCATCTTTAGCAGAGACCCCACTCTTGTCCTGTGGGCCCCCATGTTCGGCGGTCACACCGCTGAGGCACAGAGGGGGAGGTCTCCTGGTTGGAGGTGTGTGTTGGCGATGCTCTTTGGCTGAAAGTGAAGGCCATCCTGGCACGACCAGGGCCTGTCTGCTCTGCTAGAGGCCTTTCTGGAACTGGTGTGGGGTGAAGTGCCCCCACCGAGCCACACTATCCAACAGCCAGGTCCCCATCTACCCAGGGTGACCCCTTTAGGACCAAGCCAGGGAGGGCGACGCGCCAGGACCAACTCAGATGCTCAAGTTCACTGGCACAGCGCTGCAGAATCTTAAAACCATTTTCCTTTAGAGGGTTGACAGTGGACCTCCTGAGCGCCCGGGCACCTGCCATCTGCAGGATGTGCATGTCAAGTTGTAGGACTGGGCACATGGCATGCTCCTTCGCTCTCTTGTGGCCTCATGGCATCTGGGGTGCTCTTTGGGCGCAGAGGGCTCTCCAAGATGGGCTGGGGCGATGGCTGGGGGTGCGCAGGGCAGGAGCAGAGCCAGCGGGGAGGAGAAAGAGGCACTTCAGTTTGGGCTGGTGTTCGCGGAGTCGGCCCTGGCCCCAGGGGTCGAGTGGCCCCGCCTGGCTCCGGCTCCGGCTCCGGCTCCGGCGCTGGGCTGGCACAGAAGACCCGGGTGGCGATGGGCAGGTAGGCACTTGGCAGCACTCGCAGGGCCGGGCGAGCCCGGGCTCTGTGTGGCTCCACGCACGGCTAGGCCATCAGGATGGGCTTCTGCCGAACTTCCAGGATGTCTAGGGTGCAAGGCCAGGGGAGGACGGGCAAAGAGGTCAACACCCCAAGCACCATGTTGACAGCAGCTGCGCTCAGCAGCCAGCGTCCGTCAGTCACACACACGGCCTGTTCCAGCCCCACAGGCTGCACTCTGGCTGGAGTCAGTGACGTGCCCCAGAGCACCACCCCCACCACGGGGACACATACCAGGGTCTGTGGGCGCTTGGGGACAGGCGGGGCCGCTAGAGCGCTACACAAAGGCACCCCTGCAGGGCCAAGAGCTTTCCCAGTGGCCCCACAGGAAGTGTGAACAGGGAGACCGGACCCGACAGACACAAGGACGCAGGGTTGGGCGCCCCCGGGAATTGGAGCCCAGGGCCCTGGAGTCGGGCTCCAGTGCCTACGAAGCAGCGAAACTAGGTTTCCAACCCAAACGGCGTTACCTGTTAAGATCCGATGCAGCGGCAAAGTGACGTAGGTCAAGTGTGCATAGAGAAGGAAATTTCCGTCTGCTCTGTTCAGCTTCAGCCAGGACCCGACCAGGGACCGCCCCGTGCCCGACAGGGACCGAGACCGCAGGTTGGTGGCATTGTGCAGATCAGCTGGCGGGGGGGGGGGGGGGGGGGGGGGTCGGGTCAGGGCACCTCCCACTGCCAGGCCTCCTTCCTGTCCCAGCTGTGCCCCCTGCTGGGCACGTTATTACTCTGGCCTGGGACATCAGCCCCCTCCGGCCCATCTGCAGACCCCACCCCTCAGGGCCTCAGGTGCTCCCACCCGACTCTTCCCTACCCACTCTGTCCCGGAGTCCCCTCCGTAGGGACTGGCACACTGGTCCTTTGCTTCTCTGGAGCCCTGTCACTGGAACTAAGCAGCACCAGCCCGCAGGACACAGGCAGGCGGTTACTAGTGCTCTCTCATAGATACAGAAACATGCCAGGAAGAGCAGGGTGCTCCCCAAGCTCACACAGGGCGGTCAAGGCCAGGGCTGGAGTCCTGGCCCAGCCAGGGTGCAGCAGGGCCCTCTGCCTCAGGTGCTGGTGGGTGGGACCACTCAACGTCACAGCCCCAGCTCTGGGCCTGCAACCTGTCATTCATCCAGCAAACATGTGTGGAGCTCACTGGCCTGAGGACAAAGGCTCTGGAGCCACGGTCCGGAGGAGTAAAACCAGCAGGCCTGAAGTCACAACACACACAAAAGCACCAGAGCCCGCCTGTCCCTCGGCATACACTCCTGCCCACTGTGTGGAGCGGTCAGACCGTGGACGCCAGCAAGGGCTCGAGCCCCTGAAGCTGCGTGTGAACTGCCACTTGGGCAGGGGCCTGCCGGTCCCAGCTGCGTCCCCACCCAACCCGGGACAGGCGCTGCTCTCTCGGTGAGTGAGCGAGCCCGGGGGGGGGGGGTTGCTGAGGGGCCACAGGCCAGCCCTTGGGGCACAGGGGCCAGGTCACCTCCACCGCCATCCTCCCTGAAGAACTCCTCGCTGTCGTTGGCCGAGTGAGACTTCTTCATCTCGGCGATGCGGTTGCGGGGCACTTTCCTCTTCAGGGACGGGGAAAAGAAGGTGGGCCGGTTGTTCCGCTCTGGGGTGGGGGGCGTGCTGAAGGAGGTCACCTGGGGGCAGAGAGTGGCCGTCACTGGAGCAGCCCGCCTACCACCGGGGGTCCCGAAGCCCGCTCATCTTCCGCCCTCAAAATAATCCCGAAAAGAGGTCCAGGAGGGGGCACCTGGCTGGCGGAGAGGGGACCCGGGCTGTGGTCTGTGGCCCCGAACTGCGGAGGGCGGGGCGGGCACTGGGACGCTGTGTCGGCTCAGGAGCCAGCAGGACAGCCTGGCTGCCAGCGCCGCCCTCTCGAGGGCCCCAGACACTGGCAGGAGGGGCTGCTCTCGAGTGACAGCTGGCTGCTGACGCTGCCCGAGTGCCTCCCTGCTGCAGCCCACGAACCCACAGAACCTTCCACGAGGCAGGACCCTCTTTAACCCCATCGGGCAGATGCGGAAACAAGGCTGACAGCAGATTTGACTTGTCCAAGGTCACCCCGCAGGACAACAGCAAAATCGGGATCGCAACCTGGGCCTCCACCCTGCGCTGGCTCTTCACTCGGATTCCTCCTCTTGGCTGCCGCACCCCAGCCCCCAGCCCAGCACCCCTCACAGATGGGCTATGGCCATGCGGTCGCTCTTCTGTCCCACCCACTCCCGACCACTGTTCATTCACCAGACATTCTCCACACCCACTCAGTGCCACGCGCTAAGCACAGACAGGCATGTGACACTGGTCCCTGCCCTCGTGGGGCTCACAGTCTGCTGGGGGTGACGGACTGGAAAAGCGACACCCAGAGACTGCATATCGGTAGCTGAGACAGAAAACGAGGCACAGGACACGGGAGCACAGAGGCAAAGCCTGGGGGGTCATCAGGGCAGGCTTCCTGGAGGAGAGGCCGCTCCGGCTGGGTCTCGACGGACGAGTAGGAGTTCGCCAGGTGAAGAAGGGGGGGAAGGGCGTTCCAGGCAGAGGGAACTTGGCCCATCTCCTCCCTCCTCCCCATGCAAACAAGAATCTGAGGAACAGGACCAGCTGGGACCGAGACTTCGGGAGCCCCATCAGCCTCCTTGTCACGGCGCCGACGTCCATCACAGTCTTGGCGGCTGGTGGCTCCAAGCGGTCCTCCCACAAGTCAGGGAAGGTTTTCAAAAGATAAAAAACAAGACACCAGAAACCACAATACACACAGCATCTGCGTTTGCCACCCCTGGTTCCAAATGACCCCCCAGGAAGGCGGACAGGCAGCAGTGAGCAGAGGGGGGGCGGGGCCGCGGCTGGGCAGTCCCCAGCAGGTCAGGCCCTGCCACTGACAGCATGGGGCCCCGGCAGCCTCCCTGGGAGGGTGGAGCTGTCACTCCTGCCCGACGGATGGGAAGGTCAAGGCCGAGGCAGGTCTAGGGATGTGTCTGGAGTCATTGAGCAGACAGCTGGCTGGACTGGCACCAAGGCTGTCCGGCCCAGGGTCCAGGGCCCAGGGTCCCCGCCTCCAGGAGGATTTCCTGTGTGTGCTCCGTCGGGGTCTTGGTCAGCAACAGGACCAGAGAGGAAAACTGCGCTCCTGATCTGAGAAGGGAGCCCGGAGGTGGGGAGAGCCTCCATGCTGGCCTGGGCCTGGAGCTGCCCCGTATTTACCAAAGAACACCACTACTCTGTTCCACTCCTAAAACACATTCATCGCAGAACACACAAAACAGAAAAGGTACAAAGATCGAGAAAACTGCCCTCTGGCCACCTGGGCACGCCCACGGTTAACAGCCAGACAAAACTGAAAGAATGGCAAACGTACTCCTTGACGTAAAGAGTGCATCAGCAGGAAACGCACTATTTACATTCTCTGTGGCCACTTCCCAACGGGCCCCCGCCGGTGGTCACACTCCAGCGGCTGCTCCTCACCGAGTGTCCCCCGCGGCCACGCCCGTACGAGGGTGACCTGGGCCTCTCCTCACTGAAGGGAGTGAGCGTGCTCAGCCCATTTCTCAATGAGCAAGCTGAGGCTCAGAGGAGCGGGGGCTGTCCCAGGTCACAGGAGCAGCAGTGCCCGGTCCCAGTGCCTGGTGACTCGCCCTGCCTCTCTCCCAGAGATGCACTGAGCTGCTGCCTCTGTACCCCTGGTGGGCAACTGGTCTGCCCCCTCCCGTGACCTTCACTTCCAGACAGCCCCCTCTGGGAGACCCAACCCGGGCCAAGCAACCATGGGCTGAGGGGTGCCCCTGCCTGAGCCCAGGGTCCCCCTAGAGGTCCTCGGTCCCCTTGGGGAACAAGCTGCCGTGGACCTGGGCTCCCATCCCAGGGAGGGTGGTGGCCTAGAAAAGAGCAGGGCTGCAGGCTGTCACACCAGACTCATGTGACCTGGGGCAGCGCAAGCAAGTCCAGTGACCCTGGCCCCCAGGTCTGGGGACAGGAAAGCTCACGTGCACCTACGGGGCTGCAGGTGAGCGCCAGCGGTGTGGACGCACAGCACCCTGTGACCCACCAGGCCGGGTGAAGCGCCAAGCTGGGCGGCCCAGGGCTCTGCACACCGGGGCAATCCTCACAGGACAGGCAGGGAGGCCAGCTCACCTCCCTTCCCCTCACTCCCCGTCACCGCCTGTGCCTGCCAAACAAGCCCTCAGAGGCAGATGCCAGGACTGGCGTGTCATCGGCCTGGCTGCAGCTCAGGGGAACGGAAAGAGCTTTGGTCCAGGCACTAACCTGCTGTGTGACCCTGGGCAAGGGACTTGCCCTCTCGGAACCTCGGCCTCCTCCCCGGAGTGACGGGGACGGGGACGAGGACGCCTACCTCACTCGGGGCTGCGAGGCTCAGGGAGACGATGGGAAGCAGGCTCAGGGACAGGAGGCCCCGCCCCAGCGGTGCAGCCCTTACCCGCTCATGCATGGGCGAAGCCGGGCTGGAGTCCTCCTCGGTCCCACAGGGGGATGTGTCGCCCGTGGACACACGGTTGACGGCCATCTCTGCGTGGCCCTTGCCCTGTGGCCCCTTCATGCGCACGAACTCCATGTTGCTGTACTTGTAGAAGCCAAATGACATCTTCTGTGCCATGCGGGCGGCCACGCTCACCTGTGGGCGGGTGGGAGAGGGCCTGAGCAGGCTGGTGGGCGGACCTCTCCCTGCGGACACCGGCATCCAGGACGGCCAGCCCTTAAGAATTAGTCCCGTCAGGGGGCACTGAGCCCCGAAGTACACTCCTGTCACTGCCCGATGACCCCTGCCCACAGCAGGCCCAGGGCCAGGCTGGGGACAGAGCTCCAACCCCAAGAACCCGAGCCTGCCAGGTGGTCGCCACCCCCCACATTCCAAGGGTGGCGAGTCCAACATGGCACCCAGCTCAGAGGAGTGGCCGTATCCCTGCGTCCTCTCCCTTTAGGTCAGCTGGCCAGGGGCCGACCAGGTGTGTCCGCACTGGGAGTGGCCAAGAAGAATGTCCCATGAAGCGGGCCCTGAAGCGGCCACCATAGTGGGGCCGTCACAGGAACGGCGCCTCCCTGGGCCCACCTGGCACTCACTCGGTTGTCGTACACCTTCTTGAGTGCCTCGTAGCGGATGGAGCCCTGAAAGATGACCCCTTGGAACATGTTGGTTTTGTCGCTGGCCACCAGCTCCACACAGACCATCTCTCCTTCTCCCACAGTCATGTCACTGAACACCTGGGGCGGGCACACAGTGGGGAGGGGACATCAGCTGTCAGCTGCCACCCACCCGCCCAGCTGCAACCCGGCCAGCTCCCCGCCCCGCTCCCCTGCCTGGGGCTGCCTGGAGGAATGCTGGGGAAACTCTGGTATTGAAAGGGAGAGCACGGAGCCACAGATGTGGAGACACCTGTGGCTGCCAGACCTGCCCCGCTCCGCTGAGCCCAGCATGGGAACAGGATAGAGTAAGTGCGGGCAGGGGTGGCGGGCAGGGTGGCGTCCCGCACAGGGTGTGCCTGACTGTGTTCCCCTTCGAGGATGCGGTCCCTCACCACACTCCCACGCTAAGAAGTCAGGCCGCTGGCAAGGACTGCCCAGTACACGTTCTGTTACGGGGTCTTCCTCACTCAGGTGATAGTGCCCAGCACCTCCTGCCCTGTCCCCTTGGCCTTCATGGCTTGTGTGCAGACACAGAGTGGTGCAGAGTTTCAAGGGCACACAGACTCAGGTTCAAAGTGAACTACCTGTGTGAGCCTGGAGGGGCACCTAGCCCCCTGAACCTAAGGAGCTTTAAGACACCATCAAACCCAGAAACCCTGGAAGCCACGCCCCCTTCCGGGGACTCACGGGTGCCATCAGGGCCCCAGGGCAGAGACTGGCCGGGCTGGGCCGAGCAGGTTGCCAGTGGGATGCAGGCTGGCTCTTCCCAGCACCTGTTTTCCTGGTGAGTCACCCTTTGCCTTGGGACCCGGTTTTCCCAACTTTAAAACACCAGCATGACCAGAATGACTTCTGAAGCCCCACCCTTTCCGGCACCCCAGGATCCCAAGCCCGGGCAGCGTGGGTGTCTAATGACCATAATATAATGATGGCCCTTCCCGCTGGGGCGGCGTTTTGTAGGTATTCACGATGCCCTTTCATCTCCGACCCTGAGCCTCAGTGTAAGTGGGACAGGTGACCACAATTTCACAGGTGGGAGAACCAGGATCCGAGTTGGGCCCCCCCCTCCCTCGCTACACGTTCAACATCAGACTGGGGGCCACGTGGGCAGGAGTCCAGACCAGTCCCCAGTCAATGCTCTACCCCCATCTCTGTGCAAGGGGGTGAGGCCTGAGGGAGGGAAGCTCTGACCACGGAACCCGACGGGAGCCATGCCCACCTCCTCGAAGCTGTCGATCATGAAGAAGATGTTGGGGTAGCTGATCTGAGACTCTTCCCCTTTGCTATCCATGGGGTGTCTGCTGGGGGATGCGAACACTTGCTGAAAGGAAGGAGATTCAAGGACAGAGTGAGGCCCCACCCTGCACCCTGGCCCAGGGCCACTCAGCTGGGTGGGGTGTGTCACTGAGGGCACACTGCGCAGGGCCAGGCCACAGCCAGAGGGAACACATCTGGAAGGAGCCCCATGGGACGGCCTGTTCTGTGCTCCATGCGTGGGACACGGAACAGGACACCGAGAGCTGACTTCTGGAGCCAGTCTCTCACCTCAGGTGGAGGGAAGTGAGGAGGGGGACCTGCCTCCTCAAAGCAAACACTGGGTGTGCAGGGGTCTGCCATTTCTGGGCTGAGCTAGTGGGGGATGCAGGGGGCTCCCGGCCATGGCTCACCTGGGATTTCTTCTTATGGATGTGGATGTCGCCCCCGTCAGTGCGTGTGCACACGGCACAGGTCACCATGTAGTCCAGCTGCAAGAGAGCACAGGCCGGGTGCATGGAGCGCTCCCTGCCCCGCGCCCACCAACCACTCTGTGCCGGAGCCCCGCCCAGCTGACCGCACCTTCTGCAGGATGAGGTTCAGGCAGACGCTCTCCTCCCAGTCGATGTCAGGGTCTCCCAGGCCTGGCAGCTTCTTGGAGTCCCGCCGGTACACCTCCACCTCCACCTCGGGCTCGACCTCCGCCAGCTGCGAGGCAGGGGCGTAACTGAGTAAGCCCCACCATGGCACCAGCGCCGCGCCCTGACCACTCTGCCAGGCGGGTGTTAACACAGATGTAGACTCCGGCCCAGCCTTGTCTCTGGCTATGAGACCCAGAGCTGACCAAGCACGGAGCTTCTGAGGCTGTGCCTGGGGCCCCACGGGAGAGCCGGCAATCCTAGCGCCCTGTCCCACCCACATTCTGCTCCATTTGCATACCCTCCCACCCAGTGATAAGCAGACACCCACCCGCCCTCCCCCACTAGCTCAGGAAGCCCGCAGGTTGCCATGGTGATTGGGTACCAGCTCCGCTGGCTGCAGTATAGGAAGGGGCGGGAGCAGTCTGGGCTAGCCGCAGCAGACTCTCAGTGCGCATGCTCTGCAGAGGCCTGAACTGCGCAGCCGAGGACGCACACCACGCCTGCCAGGTGCTCTCCTTCCTGTCTGTTCTTTCCAATGGTGGGGTCAGGAAGGTGCCTGAGAAGCGGCCGGGCTCCGCCGCACCCTCTGTCCACCCTGCAGTCACTAGACCCACGGAGCCTCCTCACATCGCTGCCCTCCAAACACTGTGGACCGACCCCACAGGGCCGACCCTGACAGCGCTGTCGTAGGTGGGCTTGGCCCAGCCCACTGCTGCCTTGGAGTCGTGCAATACTCCAGCGGGATGTCACCTCCTCCTCTTTGTGGGCTCCCACCTGCTCCCCACTCTCCCCACCGTCGCAGCACCGTGGCTCTGCATCACTGGCCACGCCGTCTGTCCCAGCACACTGGGGCTCCGCGAGGAGAGGGCCAGGGCTGAGACAGATGCACACGCCTGGCTGCGGGTGGCCACACAGGGCGGCCCCACCCCTCCCATTCCCTATCCTTCAGCCCTGGATGCAGAGCACGGCTGTCCCCAGGTAAAAGCCACCCTGCCCATTCCTTTCCCCAGCCCACTGGGCCACTCCCTGCACCAGCCTGCCTTTCCAGAGAAGTCTAGTCCAAGGCAGACTAAGACCCTTCCCTGACCAGAGCTGGGATTCTCCCGGCTCTGAAATTCCGGGGGCAGCTCTGAGACCAGAGGGACCCGTCCTTCCAAGAGCCTCCGGCCTCAACAGACGGCCTTCGGAAGAAGACCGAGATTCTGCACTACGGCCTTATCTATGACTCGAACTCCAGCAGATGCCAACAGGCTGGAGGGAACCTGCCCCCCACCTCTGGCCAGTCACTGTCTCCTGCTGCTCCCTCCAGCATCAGGCCAGCTCACTCTGCACATCTCCCTCCTCTTCCCACAGGCTCCAGGGACTGCCTCAGTGCCGATGACCTTAAATCTCTACCTCTGTCCCTGGCCTCTGGGCTGAATTCAGACAGGCAATCCACGACCTAGAAGACCCTGCCACAGGCACCCCCAACCCACTCAACCCATCCAACACTCAGCTCCCCTCCTGGGGGGAACCACACTCACCGAGGGCTGGAGTGTGAGGCCTGGCTGTCCTGTGGGTCTTCCCTGCCCAGCTCAGCCACCTGAAGCCCTGCCTGTGGTATCCTTGGCACCATTTGACCATCCCTGCGCACCCGGCGCCCTATCCCTGGCCCAGCCACCAGCAGCACCTCTGGAGCAGCCTCCTGGCCTCTGCTCTCACCCTCTCTGGCCCTCTGCCCTCCGCTGAAGAGCTTGCCGAATGGAGCTCGGACCACGCTCCCTTCTTCAGTTTGCCTGGACCAACAGTTTTCCAGGGCTTTGTGGAGAGCACCCAACTCCTGGGTGGGACTTCGGCACCCCTGTGCTCTGGGCCCTGCCGCCCTCCCCTTCCACCCCAGCGGTTACACAGCGCCTCCAGCGACGCCTGAGTGTGTGCGGATTTTATGTTCTATCAGACCCACCATTTGGGCCACCATCTCCCTGCCAGGGAACACCCCTTCATTTAAGACTCAGTCACCCATGTGGCTCTGCTGACCACTGCCCTTCCTTCTGGTTGCTATACACATATTTGCTACACCGTCATATACTTCTGGGTCCCGGTGACAACACAGTTGCACAGCCAACTGCTTGCACATACCAGCTGATTCTGGGGGGCCCACCCAGGCCAACCCCTGGGTGTCCCTACATGTCATGAGGCCCTGCCAGAGCAGCTATTATTGCCACCGGCGTGCAGAAGGCCAGCACGGCAGGGCGGTTGCTGTGTCTCCTTTGCAGCAGACACCAGGCCTGTCCATTTGCAGGAAACCTGTTCCACGTGTGTCAGGCTCAGAAAGCAGGCCCACGGCAGGGCAGGGGCTCCAGACGCTTGGCGTACGATCCGGCGTACGATCCGCATCTCGCCGGCCCCAGCCCCGGCCCAGGCGGGAGACAGGGCCCCGGACTCGGTGCAGGCCAGCTGCAAGTTCCTGAGCTGCCTCCATGGCTTCCCATTGTTTGTGTTTAAAGGAAAACCACATCTCCATGTTTGGCTTACGGCTTGCTTAAATACTTTACACACTACTAATGCTTATAAAAAACAGAAGGAAACATGCAAAGTCTGTTTCACTAACTTCTCTACGGATTTAAATTTAGCGGAAGAAAGACCTTAAGTGAGTCACGTCATCCCTGAGTGCTCCATGGCCTCATTTGTAAAAAGAGGATTTAGCCCTGGTTGCTGTGGCTCAGGGGATTGGTGCTGGCCTGCAAATCAAAGGGTCGCTGGTTCAATTCCCAGTCAAGGCACATGACTGGGTTGCAGCCAGGTCCCCAGTAGGTGGTATACAAGAGGCAACCACACATTGATACTTCTCTTGCTCACTCCCTTCCCCTCTCTAAAAAATAAATTAAAAATTAAAAAATATATATTATAACATTAAAAAACAGATTCAACATCTGCCCTGTGGAGCTGCTGAGAAGATACAGTGAGATCAGGAAGTGGAGAACCCAGCGCTGTGTGTGGTCTGTGTTCTGGGGTCAGTGAGCGGTCACCGCTCCCTCATCATCATCACCAAGTCAGGTCAGCCTGTCCTTGGCCAGGGAGGAGCTGGACTCTGGGGTCAAAGCATTGCTTAGCCACTCCTTCTGAGATGCTGGCCACGTCGCCTAGCCTCTGACCCTCAGCTTCCTCACAGGTGCGATGAAGACGCTACCTTTCAGGGTCAGGGTAAAGGTTAACAATAATGCGGGCTGTGCCCGGCGCATCCCCCTTTCGCAAGGATGTGTGACTGTCTCCACGTGGTTCTTGGCACACAGTAGGTGCTCAGGGAACCTCACTTCCCCTACGATGTGTGCGAGGACTGCAGGAAGCTCACCTCACCTGTCAGGAGTGGGGTGTGCAGGGCTGCTTGGCTGGGGCCAGAGGGGTCACTCACCTTCCTCGAGTCGCCGCCGCTCTCGCCGCCCGCAAACACCCGTTTCCGGCGCACGTAAAAGAGCATGTCGTCCTGCCGTGGGGCCCACTTCTCCATGAAGTAGGTGGAGAACATCCAGGTCCAGAAGGCGATGCGGTCATCCTTGACGTACCCTGCAGAGAGAGGCCGGAGAGAGGCCGGTGAGAGGCTGGGTTGAGCTGGCCCTTGTCACAGGGCCTCGGCCATGCCGTCCTCCTCCTTGCCCACACCATCTCCAACCTGTATTTCCACCAGGGCTCTGTGCTGTCCAAAGCCCCCTCCTCCCTCACCACCCCCCACCATGGGGCAGCCAGAGAGGCTAAAGGACATCTCCCAGGAGGCCCGGCTCTCCACCCAGGGGGGGCCCGAAGCCCCAGCTCCCAGCCGCAGGCCGGGCGGGCTGCAGCCTGAGGATGAATCAGCAGCTTCTCGGAAAAGGGAAGACCTAAGGAGAGAGGAAGCTTCGTGGGGGCTGCACTGGAAAGGGCTTTGGAGGGGAGATCCGTCACCAGACAGGCTCCACCCTCGGCCCACGCCCCTCCCCTCCCCAGGCTGCAGCAATCCCCACAGAGAACCCAACTTAAAGGAGCAGCCACCCTTCTGCCAGCTGGTCTCAGCTGCTGGCAGAAAGCAGAGAAGGCGTGTGCAGACCCCCTCACCCCTGCGCCACAGGGCCTTTCAGCGCGCAGGGTTGATTCTTGCTTGATCTTCCGGGGGACTCTGCTGTTTGACAAACCGTATTTCTTTAGGATAAATAAATCTGTTAGTGCTTCCTGCACTAACAGAAAAGGCCCCCAGGCTCTGGGGGAAAGACCTGGGTCCCCCCCCAAGTGCTGCCCCTGGCGCTGTGACCCCAGGCAAGCAGCTTGACCTCTCTGACCCCAGCTCCTCCTGGGTGGGTAGGGGGGGAGGTGGACAGAATGTGGGCGGGCGGAGACCAGGGCGTGAAGAGCCCCTGCAGAGAGGTATTGGCAAAGCTGGGCTTCCTTCCCGCCTCTCCCTTTCTAGACAGACCCAAGGAAATGTCAGGATCTGCCCCAGAGCTATTTCTAATAGACTCTACATATCCGATGGTTGCTGGTCCTTCCTCTCCGCCAGGAAGACCCTGACCCAACCCTGCACTTAGACACGGGGGACTGAGGACCAGCTGCTGCTGGGACCCTCCCTCACTCTCACAGGCAGTTCTGTGGCCCAACCAGGACTGCCCAGGTGACACGACATGTGGCCCGAGCCCCCTGCCCCTGGGGCTCCGCCACCAGGCTCCAGAAGACTGAGCCACAGGAAAAAACCCCCAGCCTCAGCGCCCTTCTGCTGCACCACTACCAAAGAGCCACGGCTCCGACGCAGCTCCGACTGTGCCCTCTGCCGGACCACGGGGCCACCTGGGGCCCACCCACTCCCGCAGCCTGCCCGGCTCCCCATCGAGGAAACAGAGGGGTTTTCTCGGTCAGCCTCGGGGCGCAAAGACAGAAAGCCCATGGGGCTGACAGCCATCTCCCGGCCTCCCAGCCCCCAGGGGCACCAAGCAGGCTGTGGAAACCACTCATCTGAAATTCCTGACACGTTTGTGCGCCAGGCGCCGCCCCAATTCACGCCACTACAGATCCAGTGCACAGTGAAGCAGATAGGCTGTGGCTATTCTTAGATAAAACTGGAACTCCCACCTGGCTGGTGTGTCTCACGGGATTGAGTGTTGGCCTTCCAAGCAAGGAGTCTCTGGTTCGATTCCCAGTCAGGGCATGTGCCTGGGTTGCAGGCCAGGTCCCCAGTAGGGGGCGTGTGAGAGGCAATCACACACAGATGTCCCCCCCCCTTCACTCTCTCTATCCCTCTAAAAATAAAATCTTAAAAAAAAAACCCCACAAAACTCGAACTTCCACTTCTACTCCATCCTCCACACCCAGACACAGGGTCTTTAAAAACCTCTCCCATCTCTCCCAAGACCTTTCCCACTGAATTCAGAATGAAATCAGCACAGTTCTTACACGGCGTCCGCCTCTCGCCCCTCCCAGCCACGCCGGCCTCCCAAGGAGGCGGGAGGCTGACCGAGTGACCTGCCTCAGGGCGCGTCCCTGTGCCCCTCCACCTTCCCACCGAAGCTCCTTCCTGTCTCTGCTTCACGTTCAAAGTCCCTCCTTCAGAGAGCCTCTGCGTTCCAGGTCCTCCTGTCACATCGTCCTGTCTTGCTGCCATCCTGACCCTTCCCGCCTCCACCCGGTGTGTCTTCCCTGCTCCTGTCTGCCCCCCACCCCCGCCATGGTGTGACAGCAGCCAGGAGTGGGGAGCTGGGCTAGATTGCCCCCCAGACCTTGGTGCCCAGAACAGTGCCAGACACACAGCGGGCGCTCAGTAAATGCTGGGTGGGTGGATGAATAGGTTACCCCGACCTAACAGGAAATGGGCTCAGTGACGTGGGCAACTTGCCCAGGTACCCAAAGAAGGAAGGGGCGCAGCCAGCGCCCACCTGGAGCCTGGGAGCCCCCACGTCATGGGAGCCGCACGCGTCTGCACACATTCCAGCACAGAGACACTTCTGGGAGCTTCGCTCCTAACGTGCCCGAACTGGAGGCCAGGAGAACGGACACGTGAAGCGTGGGACAGCTGCTCAGTGGACAACTGATGGTGATGGAGGCCAGCCACAGACTCTGTCTCCTCGTGCTGGGCGAGGGAGGGCAGGCGCAGAAGGCCATGTGACGTCTCAGAGAGGGAAACGCAGAGTGACAGGAGCGGCTGGCAGGTTCCCCAAATGTCCTATTCTGATTGTGCTGGTGGTGCCGAGGGCTCACCCAGCCACCGGACGTCACCCTGCTGGTCCCTTCACGTGGATGCAGTCCACTTTATGTAAATTAGTCGGCAAAACGCTATGGCAGCTGCAGCCGGCAAGGGCGCATCAAGCTGGGAACGCTCGCACGTGCAGGAGAACAGAAGCCGTGTTCCCCGTGAAAGGCGAACGAGCCTCGCCTGTTCCTGTGACTCTGCCTCATGGAAGGGCAGCGAAATCCCAGAAGTGGGCCCCCCTGCCCGGCTCCTTCTCACGTCTCTGTCGGTGTGGCCTGCTCGGATGACGTCGCAGGATCTGGAACCTTCCTTCCAGTGTCCCAACATCACGTGCAGTAACTGTGTGTGAATAAACACACGAGGCGGAGCCGGGCCCGTGTGCCCTGTGCTGTGGTCTCCCGCGGGCACAGCCCTCCTCCCTGCATTCTTCCCCAAGGCCCGACCAGCACGAAATGCCCTGGGTGACAGGCAGCCCCGGGAGCTGCCCTCTGGCCGAGAGCCCCCAAACCTCCAGGCCCTGTCCCGGCCTCCCCGCTGTCTGGCCTATGGCAGCAGGTTTTCCTGGCCCCTGAGAGCGGAGGATACACATGTAGGAGCCCGCAGCCCGCGGCAGCACCGCGGACAGCTCCCACCTTCCCCAACCGGCTGGGTGCCCGCCATGGCCATGACTATACAGTCCGTCCCCATTCCGGCGGGTTGTGTTCTGTAAAGAGGCCACAAACACTGGATCAGCAAACACCAAACCACAGCTCCCAGGGGAAAGAAACACAGGGCTAGGTTCCTTCGAGGCTCTGGGCACATTTCCGTCTGCCGACGCACACACATAACCTTGCCTGATTCTGCTTAAAGACACGGATTTCATACAGGGTCAGCCCACTAACAACGAGCTGCGGGCCAGCAGCACCACGGCTCGTGCTCAAGCGGGGCTCCCCGGGCACACACATTTCCTCCATCACCGCCTCCGCGCGCTGGGACCAGAGGGCACCGGAGCACGCTGCTTGGGGCCGTTTCGCACAGCGAGCCACCACCACGCAGCACAAAAATGCAGGGCACGCGGCACCGAGCAGACGGCCAAGGGCCCCTGTTCACAGCAGGCGCCGAGACGAGGGGCAGAGCCCCGCCCTGCCCCACCTTGGGTGGGGGGTGGGGAGACCCAGTCTGTCTGTCCCTGATTAACCTCGAAAGCACCTTAAGCGCTGACTTGGCATTAGATGTAAACATTGGCAAGTAGACCAGTTTGCAAATAGAGTCCACGGAGAACGATGAAGTGCGTCAGGAACACCTACCTGCCAGCCCAGCGGTTTCCGCTGCCTCCCGTGCTGCAGAGCTGGCCAGGCCCTTCACAGCCGATCGGCCTCAGGGGCTCCGAGCTGTGTGAGGACGAGAACCCCGCACCTCAGTGCTCTGGGACTAGGGTGCCACGGATTTTGTTTACAGCTCAATGCTGAACTGGTGACAACAGTGTCAATAGCTGGAGAGTGCAGGCCGCGCTCAGGGTCAGCAGCCGCGCCACTGACCACCACCAAAAAGCGGCAGCACAGCGACTCGCCCTCTTCTGCGGGTGGAGGGGCTTGCCTTCCCTGTGTAAAGAACTCAAACACCGTGCGGGGAACGAGGAGCAACAAAGCGCAGACTGCCCGCAGGCTGAGGGACGCAGGGTGGTGAGCACCACTCCCGTCTGCTGGCCCTGTCCCTGCAGCTTGCACGGCCCCTCTACCTGTGACCTCTCCGGGTCCTCAGGGCAACCGGGTGGTGAGGTGGGGATTCAGAAGCACAGTCTTCAGTTTAAAGATAAGGCGAGCAAAGCCCTGGAATCCAGGGGCTCCCTGGCACCCCCACCTCCGCCCCGGCCCTTTCCAAGGCACCAACATGGAAATGTGCAGTGCCGGAGGCTTCCGGCTGCTTTATGAATGAGGAGGCTGAGGGGACCTTCAGGTCACTTGGTGGGCAGCCAGGAAATCAACTCAGGTTTCTTCCAAACCTCCCGCTAGGCCCCTGGAATAGCCCCGCCCTGGCCCTGACACACCCGCCTGAGCACTCAGAGGCGGGGTGGGGGGGCACAGTGGCCTTCTGAGCTCTGCCCTACTGATGTCCAGGAAAGACGTCCAGCTGAGTGTGCAGTCTGGGCTCCGCTGCCCAGCAGAGTGGCAATTTCACATCGTTAAGTTATTTTCCACGGAGATGACTCTTTGTGCTCTGTCTGGGAAGGAAGGCGACCCTGACCTGATGAGGCTTTCCTTACTAACACAATCACAGTGTGGGGGCCAGGAAGGCTTCGTCAGGCTAGACTTAGAGAGGAGGCTCGATTCATGTTCTGATCCTGGCCCGTGTGGGTAAGTTCCTGAGCCTCTCACCC